TAAAGTTAATAGCAAAAAGAGACAGTTGGTCTATTTCATAAACTATAAGTGATAAGATATAACAATCATCAACTTTAAAATACCAAACAATAGAGGGAACTTATTGTTAGAAATACAAGGAGATTTTTTTTTTAATTGTAAGAAACTTAAACTTGCCTTTCAGAAATGGACAAACCATTAAATTAAAATAAGTACATAGAGAATGTGAATAACTATTTTTAAATGTTAGTTTACATTTTAATTATCAAATCTATGAGCTAGACATCGTTCTAAATATTTATAAGCATGTACTCATTAATCTTTATAACAGTCCTATGGGATAGACATATTACTATCTTCATTTTACACATGGAAAAACCAAGTCACGGAAAACGTAAGTAGCTTGGCTTGGATCACACAGATAAGTAAATGGCAAGACTGTATGGCCCCACAGTCCATTCTCTTAACTCCTATGCATTGAGCGCACACATACACAGGCCTTTGTGTTTTACAGTAAAGAATATTTGGGCTCTCCACATTTGGTTCTTCTGGGCTTATCAGGAGACTAGACCTCAAAGCCCTCTTGCAGTAAGGAAGAACAATACGATTAGTGATAGCCAATGAAGTGAGAACAGTGATGACAAGTATCATTTTTGGGCCAAAGCATTTAAAAGCTGGCATACTACTGGGAAACTCTCCCTTTGGGTGACAGCCATGGCTTGAGATGGCAGAGCAATAGGATGAAGTTGTTTGAATCCCTGAGTAACCACACAGAACCACATGGAGGGGAGATTCCCCAGAGAGTCACCCAGTACATGTTGGACTTAGAGTGAGAGAGAAATAAACCTTTATTATGTTAAGATAATAAAAGGATAATTCATTACTATAGGATTGCTTACTCTGCCTTGAATATTACATACCTCCAAATGAAAAATTCACATTCTTTTCAAATTTAACGTAACATCCATAAGAGATAATGTGATGAGCCACAAAAGACACCCTAATAAATTTTTCTAAGTAGAAATCATACAGATACATTCTCTGACTCAGGTGCAATAAAGAAAAAAAATTTAGAAGGAAAACAAGAACATAACCACAAGGAAATTAAATTTTTTTTTTCTAGGAAAAAATTCAATACTAAACCCAGAAAGAGGCAGAAAACTGTAAAAGACTAATGTTGACGTTGAAAAGGTAATAAAAGAACTACCCCATCTCTACTTCAAGGCAACAGAAAATGGTGGAAGATTTCTGAATTATTTCTACAGAGATAACAACTGGATAAGAAGAGTCACACACAAAGGAAACTATGTGGTGATGGTTTAGTCGCTTCAGTCGTGTCTGACTCTTGTGACCCCATGGACTGTAGCCTGCCAGGCTCCTTGAGTGGTTGCCATTTCCTTCTCCAGGGGATCTTCCTGACCCAGGAATCAAACCCAGGTCTCCTGCATTGCAGGCAGATACTTTACTGACTGAGCCAGAAACTATAGACCAGTCTTATTTGTTGATATGGATGCAAAAATTCTAAACAAAATACCAACAAATACGATTTAACATCATATTAAAAGATATATGAATTATATATTATTTGGGCTTCCCAGGTGGCACCCATGGTAAAGAATCCATGTGCCAATGTAGGAGATGCAAGACACACAGGTTTGATCCCTGGGTTGGGAAGATCTGGAGTAGGAAATGGCAACCCACTCTAGTATTCTTGCCTGGAAAATTCCATGGACAGAGGAGCCTAGCAGGCTACACTCCATGGAGCTACAGAGAGTTGAACATGACTGAGCAAACACACAAAATATATATTAAAAACACCCATAAAACCATCATGATCAAGGTGAGTTTATCCTATGAATGCAAGGATAAGTTAACATTAGGAAATCTCATGTAATTCATTGCATTAATGGACTAAAGAAAGAACTCAAATCAGTAAATGCCAACAATTTGATAAAATTTATAACATTTGTTTCTAAGAAAAACTCCTTTATCATCTGAAATAAAAGAAAATCTCATTAACATAATACCTGTAGCAGATAGGATTCTTAATTGAAACAGAAACATTTGCATTAAAGTCTGGAACAAAACAGGATGTTATTATTGAAAATTGCTCTGACAGCCCGACTAATAGAATAGGATGAAAACCAAATAAGTATAAGGTTTAAATATTAGAAAGTGTCAAATTGTTATTTTTCATAGCTTTTGTTTTTCATCAGTCTTTTTCTTGTCAAAACATAGAAGCAGGAAACTGAATTTCATTGATTATTAAAAGGCAAATACTCCTGTTTCCATCACCCAATTCAAGAAACAACTTTGTCAGCCAACCAGATATCCCTCTATATGGCCTCCAAACCATCCTACTCACTTAGGATGATAACTTATTTGAAAAGTACTAAGATGTTTTTCAGATGCCTTTTCAGTGGATATGATTATTTACCTAGAAAATCAGGAGGCTCACCTGACTGACCTATTAGAACTAATGAGATCAGCGGGATGGACTTCTGCTCCTACAGTTATCTTCTCACTTCCTTAAGTCATTCATTTCTTCTGCCCTATTGGATCATTCTTTCTCTAAAAAAAAAAAAACCTTCCCTTCACCTCATATGCCCCTTCAATTTCTACCACATTTTTTATGCTTCTGTCTAAAATCAACCTCCTGAAGGAGCTGACATTATTTCTGTAGCCTAATCTTACCTCTGCACATACAAACTGTATTCCCTCTGCCATATCTCACTGATGTTGCTTTTGTCGAGGATCCCAGTGACTTCCCTGTTGTTGAATCCAGTGGTGACACTTCTGTCCTCAATTTGGAAAGTAGCATTAAAGGCAATTGAAAGTCTCTTGAAAAAAATGTTTTTTTTAAATTTATTTTAATTGAAGTAGAGTTGATTTACAATGTGTCTTTTTCTGGTGTATAGTAAGGTGATTCAGTTATATTCTTTTTCATCTTCCTTTCCACCATAGTTTATTACTTCCAAGGAACACAGGGGACCTCTAGAAGCTAGGAAAGGCAAGAGAACAGATTTTCTTCTGGAGCCTCCAAAAGGAACATAAGCCAGTTGACACCTTGATTTTATATCAGTGAAACCCATTTTGGATTTCTGACCTTCAGAACTATAAGATAATAAATGGGTGTTGTTTTAAAGCACTAAGTTTGTTGCAAATTGTTCCAGCAACTGTGGAAAATGAATACATTTACTGAGATGGCTTCTTTTCTTCAAGTCTTGATTAACTTACCTCTTCCATAACTTCCATGGAACTGTAATTTTTTCATTCTATGATATCAGTTTCATATTAATTATAAACTCTTCTAATTAGGCAAATATATATATATATTATTTTTCTCCAACTGGTAGTTCTTTCTCTGTGCCTTGTCAGAGTGTATGAATTTAATTAAAATTGTATCATTATCTCCAGTGAAAATTCTTCTTTGGTGGAATTCCAAGCACAATGTTTGAGATGTTTTGGGGAGAGTCAGCATCACCTTAGAATTCTGTCAGAGAAGTGGGAAAGCCCCAATGCCTGCAAGCTCCCAGGATTGTGGGAGCTGAGCATGTTCAATGAGGTCCAGAGACAATTCCTGCTTTGCGCAGTCCTTGAAAGTGACCTCAGATGGATTTACATCAATTACTCAAAACTTTTCACACAGAGCTAGAGTCCAACTTGTTCTCATTTCTTTGAAAGACTTGGCCCCATCCCTTTTCTTTAACAGAGGTGGTTCAAGCGGTCCCAGAGACCCAACTTTGGGAAAGCTGTCTTTGACCACAGCTTGATTCTGAAATGTCTATACCTGGCTAGTGATTTTCATGGAATTGTAGTAAAAACACCAGATTTAAAGTCAGAATACTTTTGCTTAATTTGTGATTCTGTTTACCAGCCTGTGCCAGAAAATGGTTACAGAACCTCTCTGAGCCTGAGTTTCCTTATCTGTAAAATGAGGATAATATTTATCTCATAGAATCATTAGGCAGATAAAAGGAAGAGTGCACTTGAAAGCAGTAGATGTCCTGCATTTTAAAATATATCCATATTCAGCAACGAAAAGGAACAAACTACTGATAGGAAACAAAATGCATGATATTAAAAAACATCATGTTAAGTGCCAGGAGCCAAAAAACACATGCCAGTATAATTCCATTTATATGACATTCCAGAAAAGGAAAAACTAGACTGACATAAGTTACATCAGTGGTTGTCAGGGGTTGGACGTAGGGGGAGAGAATTGAAACGGGAGCTTTTTTGAGATGAGAAAAACGTTCTGTATTCTGTCTGTTTGGTGGTTACACAACTGTATCTGTCAGAACTCAGAAATGTACCTCTCAAAAGGGTGAATTTTACTGTGAGTAAATTGTACATCAACAAACCTGACTTTAAAAAAATTGAAGCACATATAAGCCTTTGGGGACAGGATCTTATGGACTGAGTGCTCAATCAACAAGTACTTTAGTCCAAATTTTTGACCTTAGTGCCACGTTGTTCACGTACGATTTTCTGCTAATATAGCATGCTCATCTGTTTGCAGCTTTAAAGTTTTTTAAATTGGAAAGGTACTGAGCACTTCTTAAAAGTTCAATTACCTTGTCTTAAGGAACAAGGGAAGTCACCAAGAGAAGGATGAGGCTGAGCTGGACTATCAACCTAGGAGCACATATTCTGGGAGGTGGGGTGGGGGTGGGGCGGCGGATTCCTGCTTCAGTCGCCAAGCAAGAAAAGCAGCGCAAGCCTACGATGTGTCAATAACGGATGTTATCTTGATTTGGAGGGAATTTCCAACTCGATTGCTTAATATTGGTCGGACTTCTGTAGTTAAGGATGGCCTCAAATTAGTTTAGCTAAAAGGCTAAGGCGTGCGAGTCTCCGCGCAGGCTGGCAGAGACAGTCAGCACCCAGAGGAGGTCAGCTCCTTGGGTGCCCCGCCAACCCCCGCCCGGCCGGCGAACCCTTTCCTCATTGGTCATTGCACATCCGTCTCGGGCGCCCATTGGCTGGCTCTGACGCCCGCCTCTATAAGAGGCGGGCAGCGCGAGGCTGCGCGCGGACCTAGCTCACAGCTAAGCAGACCTCGAGGTGAGTGGAGTGGTGCCTTCCCGTTGGGATCAGGGCCCACCGCTGAGGATTTGGGGGCGTTGGGCTGTCTCGGGGAGAGGCAGGATCATGCTCCGGGAGGTAAATGCTTGTGGGGAGCTGGGCCTGGGAAGTCGAAGTTGTACTCGTGTGGTCACTCATTCTCCCTCACGCCTACTCTCTTTGGGGAGAAAAAATACTATTTTTGAGGACCTCCTGAGTGCCAGAAACAGGCTCTTTACATGTCATCTGATTTCACCTCCCCAACAAACCCTGTGAAGTAGATATGTCTTGAATTTTACGGATGAGGAAACTGAAGTTGAGTTGAACCCAAGTCTGCATGATTCCACTATGCTAGCAGAAACAGATGCACTCTTCCTTCTCTTCTACATCAAACGGCAACATCTCTTTTTTTTTTTTTTTCCCGTCTACTCCTACAAAGGGAACCTTCCCTTAGACACTCCCAAAGAAAAGGGAGTCTCTGATGCAAAGCCTCTCAGCAACACATCTTATCACCTCCACCCCAACACCGGACTAACAGCTCCAGCACAAGGTTGCAACTAACAAAGAGGCATCGGACCTAGTAGTTCAGATCCTGTTAATAGTCGAGGTAAGCTTAATCTTGCCTCTGGCCATTTGGTTTACGGAGGCTTAAAATTAACTCCCCACTGATGCTGTACTCTAATTGAATTAGGGCAAAAAGACTAGAGTTGAACTTTCGAACCCAGTGAAAGTTTTTCCTGTCAATTAATTCTCAAAGAAGGATGGAATTCACTTATTTGGTTTAAAAGCAGAAGTGAGCATAGCTTAAAGTAACTATACATGGTTCTGTAAAGCTATAATCTATGACCTATGAAGTTCACTGGAGTTCATTTGTAGATGTATTATTGTCAGATTATCTTCAGGCAGGGATGTGTCTTCTATTACCATTTTGTTTGCTGGTGCCTTTATTTCCTGAAATAATGTTTTTCACATTTTCGTATTTTATTTTATGTTTCAACTTTACTCTCATCCTCATTCCCTTCCTCCATTCAGAAAAGACTATCAAGTTTCTCTGGAGGGTTCTCTTCTTTCACACCAGTCTTTCCAGAAACTTTTAATTCTGTCTTCAGATAGCATCGATGCTTTCAAAATACTTTAATTTGATAGTGCTCTGTGCTTCCTAGATCATAGAAATTTAAGTTACACCGTTACTGATTAAACTAAATGGAGAAAACAGTCAATGTAAACACCTTGACCTCTTCTATACCAAGGGGATGTTGGACCTCTGACCACCTTCTTGGTATGTGTTCATTGTTTCACATGGCAGGTTCCTATATCCCAGTGTATCTTTAGTCAGGTCAGGAAAGGTAATAGGAGAATGGCTCACTGCCTCTTACAGAAAAGGGGGAAGTACCAGTTGGCACTGGCCTGTTAAAGTGTTGCTTTCAAAGTAAAATATACACTTCTTCATGAGACACGTGTCCAAACAAGTGTGACCCATTGGCTACTTCATAACTTTTTATCTTACTCGGCTAGCACTGTGGGCTTCGCCCCTGAAGGAGTAAGAGGGGGTGGGTAGCCTGAAGTGGGAAAGAAAAAAGTGACAAGGGGAAAATGTTGAGGTTCTGAAAGGGGTTTGGGAGTAGCAATAAAGACAGAATAAAAACGCTTCATAAGTTCTATCAGGCCAAGCTGTGGCCAAATTTTAGTAAAGGTCAAAGCCCTATGCTCTTAAATTGATTTTGGGGTGGGAGTTGGGAAGTGGGGAGAACTCTTTTCTTCTAGTTTCTTAGCAGAAGTCCCTTTTGAGAAACTTCATTCTTATATTGACTTAACAAGAGGGATAGGAATATTCCCAAACCTCAGTATACAAAATGCCTTACCTGTCATAAATATTCAGTTAATGTATACTTCACCTTCCTCTACCCCTTTGCATTAGGCAACACTAGATCCATTTCAGAACCAGGGAGAAAAGGAAGAATTATGAAGCCCAAAATGATGGATTAGCTATGACCATTTGTGCTTTCTTGCGGTGGCTCCTGCCACAGGATGTTAAGGGCCAGTTTTGAAATGTGAAAGAAAATCTTGATACAGTTTGATATGAAGAGTTCCATTCTAAGCTCTGAGGGATCATTGAAGGATGAACTATCAGGAGATCTGAAATTCTGTTGGTATTACCACTGACTGGCAAAAACATCATTTTTCTTTCCTGTTTTTTGATCCTTGCTTGTTGTTAAAGTTTGCTTATATTACAAAAATAGTGGTAGACCAGGAAATAACATATTTTCAGAATGCTCTTACTTCAGTATGTATGGTAGTAATATGAGGGAAAATGGGGACTCAGTAAATATAGACTGACTCAGTAAATTGTACTTTGGAGTCTTCATCTGTTTGTTTGCAAAAGAATTGCTAAATTATTCACTTGAGATTTGGAACTTAATACACTTTCGGGGTTTCATAGCAAATAAACTAATAAAACTGAAAAGCACATTAAGACAAAAGAATACTTAAATTTTATGCCATAACACAATCTTTCCATGAGCTTTCTACCATAAGAAGTAGATTTATAACTATCTTGTGAAATGCTTAATTCCCAGGGAAAGAAAAGTTTTTAGCCAGGGAGGTTTAGAATATCAATTTTATTATGTTTAACATTTTTTTGGAAAGAAATGTGGGATGCACTTCCCATTGTTAGAGCTAATATTTACTGAGTACATAGTGTAGGCCAGCATCTGTTCTAAGAGTTTCATGTATTATACTGCTCCTCCTTATAGCCACGAACTTGGGGCTAATTGGTTTCCATCCAATTTTGCATATAAGGAAATTAATGCACATAGAAATTATAACTTGTCTACATGGATTTGTAGTTGGATTTATTACAGAAATCTGCTTTATCATTTTACATCTCTCTTACTGTTGGCAGCTGTATACTATAGGACAAAGTCACTGATACTCTGTGAGAAAAAAAAGTGCATGGTCTTTGAGTGATGGTTAGACACATAAGAACTGTTTCCAAAGGTTTTCACATCTCTAAGAATGCAAATCTAAGGCCATCCCTGAATTTTTAGCTCTAGAGCCACCAATTCAGAATTTCCTGTGTGTAATTAAGCTTACCTTAAGAAATGGTCAATTCCTTTGAAGCTGAAAATCCCTTTTCGGAGGTCTTGCTCCCCATCCGTAAATCTTTTCTGCTCAGAGACTTAGGGCTGGGTCACAGACCATCTCCAACATCTTCAGAATCTCATGGGATATTGGTCACAGGGTTGGGAAGTAGGTGGGATTTGGTGTGCTCCTCAGATATCATAGCTGGGATCTCAGGATACTGTTCTCTTCTGCCTGTTTGTCCCTGCTGGAAAGTCTGTCTCTCCTCCTCCCCCTCATAATAAATCTGTGAATTCCTTTGAGGCAAATAGTCTTCTTTGTCTTTTTCATTTTTGCTGCCCTAACACTGACTATAGTAATTCATTCATGTAAATGCTTGGGTTGAAATTTTATTTGTATTACCTCTAGTAATCATTTGAATCATAGAAAAATCCACATTATCATTAAGTTTAACTGGTCATTTGATTTTAAAGCATTTGACACAGAGATTGTCTTAGTTGCAGAGAATAAATTGACACAATTAGAGATATCTAAGCAGTTTTGATTTTAATCTCAATGATTTGATAAGTATTTGTTAAATTTTGAATTTTATATTTTTGGGTACCTGAAGTAGCTTAGTTTTTTCTCTGGAGAAAACACCAGAATGCCAAGTCACAGTGTGTGTTTAAAATGTGTAAACGAGTTTTGAATGCTGTGAGTTCTGATTAACTGTTCGGTCACTTTGCAATAAATTAGAAAAGTTAGGTAGCGTGCCCAAGGTCATACACTGACAAATGTTAGACCAGTGATTAGATATTTCCTTGCACTGTTTTGCAGTGTAAATAGTGGTTGAGAATATGCCAAGGTAGATATCTAGTTCATCTGAGACGTCAACTTTCAACTAGATCCTAGGAATTTTGCTCTACTTTTTGTGTTCCTGAACATTTTTAGGGTAATTCTTGTGAAAGCAGATACATACGTTAACATTCACATTTTCATAGACCAGTTTTCAATATGTGTTCTTACATTTCTAGCTGTGTTACCATGGACAGGTTAGTTAGTTTGTCTAAGCTTCAGTTTTCTCATTTATAAAATGAATATAATTCCTCTGTCTCTTCACCAAGATTTTTATGAGAATTATATGGGACAATATTAGTGCATGATATATATAGGCATTTGACAAGTATTAGTTCCCTTACCCACCTCTTGGGTTGTTAAGAATGGATGGAATCTTGTCATCATGGCATGGGAAATTCTTTATCTTCATACTCTCTGAACTTATATGTAGAAGTCCTTCAACTTAGTATCTGGCTGATAGTTTTTAAAACTAAATTTCAAAGGTATCAGAAAGCCTGGATTCTGAAACAGAAAATTGTACTCCACTGTCAAATTTAGTAGTAGACTATTGTTTATGACCATACAGTTGGAAATTACTGAGCTTTATTTGGTACTTTATAACCTCTATCAAGCCAGATAGGGCTCTTAGGGTTACTTCTTATAAGGTGCCCCCAAATGTTACACAGTATGGGTATTATGGCCAAAAAAAGGGCATTATGGCCCAAAGAGAAAACTCACAAAGTTCTCTGGCAAGAAGAACAGAAATTCATGAAGCCCCTCATTTTGCATCAGCCTATAGAAAGCATTTCAAAGCCAAGAATTTAGCTTAATGGAAAACTACCTTGTCCTGACTTTTCTCACTTAGCCTTTCATCAGGCTGGTCATTGCATGGGTACCTGAGGTGGGTATCTGGATGGGCATAGAAGATCAAGTCCAAACTCCTCTGCATTAACTGCACAGAGCCTTTTGAAGGATCTGACCCACTTACCATGCCTGCATGATCCCTCAGTCAACATGGTCACCTCCTGTTGTCTTTTACCTGTCATCTGTTGTCTTTCACCTCCTCATGGTCTCTTTCCTCTCTTTTTCTTTAGGAGAGGAATTCAACCACATCTTCAGTGAAGCACCTCTAAATACATAGCAGAATAATTAACCTAGCCACTGCCATCACTCTATCATTTGTGTTCCCTGTTACAGCGCTTATCCTTCACATTGTTCTTCTATATAAGACTCTTAGAGTCTCCTGAGGGTAGGGACCATGTCTGTCACCAGTCTTTCATTCCTTTATTCATTCTGTGACATCTATTCAGCCCCTGTTATGTGCAGAGACTGTGCTAGGTACTCACAATGGTGAATAAAAGCACATGTGATCACTGCCCCCCACGGAACTCAAAGGCTAGTTGTAAATACAGAAACAACCATATACACAGGTGAGCTACGGCTGCACCTGTGACTGTTGTTATGAATAGGAAGTATCTGGTGTAATGGGAATCAACACTAGGGGTTGACATGGGGAGGTCAGGGAAGGCTTCCACGAGGACGTGAAGTTTGAACTGCGGGGTCCTGGAACACAGTCTCTCTGGCTTCAACCCCATGCCATCTTGATACCTGCTCCACAGGCTTGGATCAATGCATGCAAGGTGGCGAAAGGCAGTGAGATTGGTTATGTCAATTTAAGTTGTTAAACATCAATTCCACTGGAACAACGATGTGAAACTGGGCAATTAGGAAGAATTAATAACCCAAAGAAAACTAATAACCATAAATCTTCAATATGCTATTTCCATTTACTAATCTAAATCTTATTTCTCAAGTGTGTATTTCTCAATTGAGAGTCACCAGTACAAAGTTACTGTACCCTACATCTATTTGCTACACTATTCTCACCTTCCTCAACACACACACACACAGAGTTGTATTTGTAGTCATATGGCACTTGTAGGCCAATACTAAAACGGCTTCAGGGCTCATGGCCTAGGGGATTCCACAGTCAGAGAGAAAGCGGATACTTACCTGGAACCAGAATTCTCTGGGCTAGCAGTTGTCCTTCTAGTCCATCTGTGTCCAGAGCTGTCCAAGCTCTTAAATTTACAAAAGAAATAAAAGGCCCTATCCCTGTTCTGAAGTTTGCTCTCTTTTTAGAAGACATGTATGAGTGACACATTTGAGGAAAGCCATTCAAGACCCAATATATTATTAATTGTTATTATTATTATACAATTATTATTAATTGTATTAACTGTATTAACTACATTAACTGTATTAACTACAATTAATAAATGGTGAGATGTGGAGGAAAGGTAACCCTTCTGCACTATTGGTGGGAATGGAAATTGGTGCAGCCACTATGGAAAACAGTATGGAAGTGCCTCAAAAAACTAAAAATAGAACTACTATATGATCCAGAAATTCCTCTTGGGCTTACACTCAAAGGAAATGAAAACACTACTTTGAAAAGATACATGCACCCCAATATTCACAGTAGCATTATTTATAATAGCCAAGATACAGAGGCATATATATATATACATATACATATATATATATATATATATATATATATGATTGAAGGCAAAAGAAGGGGGCAGCAGAGGATGAGACGGTTGGATGGCATCACCCATTCAATGGACATGAATTTGAGTAAACTCCAGGAGGTAGTGAAGGACAGAGGAGCCTTGTGAGAGTTGGACATGATTTAGCGGCTGAACAACAACAATATATAAATATGTATATACATGCAGTGGAATATTAGCCATAAGAAGAATGAAATTCTGCCATTTGCAGCAATATGGATGGACCCCGAGGGTATGATGCTTACTGAAATAAGCCAGAGAAAGACAAATCCTGTATGTTATCATTTACATGTGGAATCTAAAATATGAAACAAGTAAATGAAAATAACAGAAACAGACTTACAGATATAGAGAACAATCGGTGGTTACCAGTGGGGAAAGTAGAGGAGGAAGGGGCAAAATAGCATAGGAGATTAAGAGTAAAAATTACTATCTATAAAATAAATAAGCTACAAGGATACATATATTATTAACATATTATATATATATTATACAGAGAATATAGTCAGTATTTTATGATAACTTTAAATGGATAAGCTTTAAATAACATATAATCTATGAAAACATTGAATCACTAAGTTGTACATCTGAAACTAAAAAAACAATAAAGATCCAATATAATAAAGTGCTAAAATTGTAGGGGGAGAGGAGGTAGGCTCTCACAGAGGAAGAGTGCTCAGTTCAGACCACAATAGTCAGGACGACTGCAAGAAGCCCATGGGCTTGAGTCATGCCCTGAAAGCACTGGATTAGGGAAAAAAAAAGGAAACTACTAACATGTATTTTATGCCTATAATGTTCCAAGTACTATGCTAGGCAATTTTTTAGCTTATTTTGGTCTCATTATGGCCTTGCAAAGTATATCTGTACATTCATGGTTTACAGATGAGGAAACTAAAACTTCGTTAATGTTATCAAATATTGTCTGAGTTTCAAATATCTGTGTTATCAAATATTGCCTACCTCGCACAACTTTCTTTTTTAGACTTTTCTGTTTTCATACTTTGTTTTTAGAGAAACACCAAATTGATCATGATTGAAGACAATAAGGAAAACAAGGACCATTCCTTTGAAAGGGGAAGAGCAACCCTTATTTTTTCCTTAAAAAATGAAGTTGGAGGACTTATAAAAGCATTGAAAATCTTCCAGGTAAATACTCTCCATATTTTTGCATAAAACTTTTATGAAATGGGTCTATAAGATTATTTGTAAATTCATCATTGGTGGACTACAGAAATGTTTTAAGTACTTAAATTTCTAAAACATTGCTCAGTTCTATCAAATGGGCAAGGGATACAAACAATTTATAGAAATAATTTATTATTTAAGTAATAAAGAAATGGGGAAGAAAGGTTTACGTCATAGATTTTGAAGAATCAAACTTTAATTTTAGCTAAATAAATATTCAGATTTTAATGATATTATTGATATTAATATGTTAAATTATATTTTATACAGCAAAATAGCAAGGCTTCTACAATTTTATTGCTCCCTACTATCAGAGCTTCAGTGCATTTGGCACTTAACTACACCTTTGGTGTGAAGGAAAATTGATGTGATGTGTAGGGAGACAATCCGGCAATATGTATTGTGAGTCTTAAAGTGTTCACACATTTTGGCCCAGTAATTTTACTTTCATAAATCTATCTTAAGGAAATTGGGTCAGCCAGTCGGAACATGAAAATTTACAGAGTGCTAAGTGCACAGTGCCCTGCTAGATATAAAGATGTGGACCGGGGCAAAGCAGACACCGTGCCAGTCCTCAGAGTGTGTACAATCCAGTGGAGAAGACAAACACTAAACAATTCCTTTTAGTAAATAAATGATTGTTGTTGTTGTTTAGTCACTAGGTTGTGTTTGACTCTTTTGTGACCCCATGGACTGTAGCCTGCCAGGCTCCTCTCCTAGGCAAGAATACTGGAGTGGGTTGCCTTTCCCTTCTCCAGGGGATCTGACTGACCCAGGGATTGAATTCGTGATCTCTGCATTATCAGGCAGATTCCTATCCGCTGAGCTTCTGGAGGCTCAGATGGTAAAGAATCTGTCTGCGGTGCAGGAGACCCAGGTTTGACTTTCACTTTTTTTCACTCTTTCAACCAATAGGGGGCAACCATTTTCAACTCTTGTAACTATATTGTATAGTATTAACTTCTATATTTATAAACAATATGTGTATTCTGCTGCTATTTCTTGATTTTTCCACCTGTAGATATTACCTATTGGTTTTCTCCAATGGAAGTAAACATTTGGCTTCCTTGGCACAACTCCCTTCCTAGAGGCCTGCTCAACTTCCCTTTCCCCCACCTTCCCAGTATAGTTATGCCCCAATTTTTGGCTATATCAGTCTTTAGTGTTTTCATGATTAAGATTATGTAAATCTTGCTCAAAGATAAGCCATATTATGCATTATTCTGACTTTTTGTTTCTTTATGTACCTAGTACAAGATTACAACATAGTGTTTAAGGGCACAGACTCTGGATTTGGACAGCCTGACTTTGAATTCCAGCTTGAACACTTACTAACTGTGTGCCTTTGGGCAAACTGCTTAACCTCTCTGTGCCTCTGTTTCTGTAATTGAAATATCTGATAGGGAATGTCTCACTTATTGCTTTAACTTTACTGGAATTTTCTTGGATCTTCTTGACTAAATTTTTCTCCTGGATGGAGTTTTAAATTATTTGGTTATATTTCCTTGCCCCATTCCATCAAGATTTTTATTTTAATAGGATTCAATTTTAGATTGATTTAGGAAGAATTGACATTTTGTGTCTTTTCCTCCAAAAACATAATTTATAGCTTTACATTTGTTCAAGTCATCATTCAAAAAATATTTATGAATGCATTCTTATTATAAAATTCATAAGAAACAGATTCTGTGAAACTCTCCTTTGCTCCTGATCAGCTCCAGTATTTGTAGCTCACTTTCTTCTATTGGTTCCATGATAGATTCTACATTCTGGGATGAACCCTGCCTATTCCAGTTCCCAACATCCCTGACACTCACTCTCTATTGTTATTTATCAAGTTCATGTTCCCTGATAATTATCTCATCCCTACTTTTGCTCATAAAGTCCCTGTTGTTTGGAATCCCCCTTCTCCCCTTCTGTTTATTAAGACTCACCTCAGTTCCTATCTACTTCATAGGAACTTTTACTTTCTCTAGCTCATGATTCTTTTTCTGTTTGTTGAACGTCTTCTGCACCCTAAGTCAAACTATTTGTATTTTCTTAGTCTTTCAGGCTCCCTAGGTGGCGCTAGTGGTAAAGAATCCACCTGCCAATGCAGGAGACACAGAAATGAAGGTTTGATCCCTGGGTCGGGAAGATCCTCTGGAGTAGGAAATGGCAACCCACTCCAGTATTCTTGCCTGGAAAATTCCATAGACAGAGGAGAATCCTGGCGGGCTACAGTCCACGGAGCCACAAAAAATTGGACATGACTGAGTGCGTGTGTGCATACACACACACACACACACACACGCACACACTTAGTCTTTTATGTGTTACCCAACTAGATTGTCAACTTCTTGTATGTCTTGCCTTTCTTCATATGCTTCACCGCCCTTACCTGGCTACAAAGGTGTTCATGAAGTTAATTTAGATTCGACATGTTAGCATTGGAGAGCATCTACTCGTTCTCATTTTTTAGATGTTGGGTGATTGGTTCTTATGTTTCACGATTATGTCACCAGGGCTTTCTCTCAGCACCCAGATTGGTAACAGAAGATACCCTCCCTAGCAGGTTTACACATATGGCACCCACAGCTCAGGCTGCCCTGGGAAGACTTCATAAGAAGCAATCTGATTCAGCTGGTTACTTGCGTTTGTAGCCTAGGAGATAGGAGGTATTAAAAATTTTGTGTTCAAGCTGTTCATCTAGTTTTAGTAAGTGGATTTTTTCAAAGGAAACTTTTCTTTCTGAAGGACTAAACACTAAGAAGACTTTTAAAAAAGCTAGCTTTTATTTGTGAGGATTTTCAAAGAGTTCTTTTCATCTAGAAAACTAGGTCTTTTGATTTGAATGCCAATCAGTTGTGGAAATCTGGGGGACTCCCTAGTGGGTGTTCATTTCATTTATTAGTTTTTGGAGGGTGTGATGAATTTTTCAAACTTAAAAAAAAAGTACCTAATATTTAGGAGGAATTGTTTTGCTGTTGGCAGCACTAAAAATGGACTTTCCCCCCCATTGGCTACTATGACAAACTATGAGATTGATTTTTAGTGGTAATGAAAGTAATTTGCTCAGAGACTATAACCATTTGAGGCAGTCATGGATACTTCTTCATCTTCATCACAGGAGAAGCATGTGAACCTGTTACACATCGAGTCCCGAAAATCAAAGAGAAGAAGCTCAGAATTTGAGATTTTTGTTGACTGTGATATCAGTAGAGAACAACTGAATGATATTTTTCATCTGTTGAAGTCTCATTCTAATATTCTCTCTGTGAATCTACCAGATAATTTTACTGTGAAGGAAGACGGTAGGTTGAAAGGTGAAAATGCCACTCAGATGATTAAGTGCATAATATATGTGTCTGATCTTATGTTTATCTTAAAGGCATAAAAGTAAAAATCAAACACTGTCTCTTCAAATTGCTTACAATCTGATAATAAAGAAGATACAAAATGTAACTGCTCAATATGCTAAAGAAAAATTATAAAGCAACACTCTATCAAAGGCAGTAGAAGTGAAGAGGAAACCTTGAGTATAATAAAGAATTCAGAATAGCTAGAAATCCATTTTGTTATCTCAATTTTTAAATTGTCAGGCATTTCTTGGTTTGACAAATCTCAATTTACAATCTCTGAGCACTTAATAACTCTTACAGGGCAGATTCTTAGCAGATATTAAATGGATATTTGAATTTGATGAAAATGTTGACAATTACTGATGACTATGCATGCATTGGAGAAGGAAATGGCAACACACTCCAGTATTCTTGCCTGGAGAATCCCAGGGACAGAGGAGCCTGGTGGGCTGCCGTCTATGGGGTTGCACAGACATGGACACGACTGAAGTGACTTAGCAGCAGCAGCAGCAGCATGATATGAAATACTTTATATGTGAAATGCAATGTTCTTCCTTGCCCTCATTTCCACCAAAACCAATGGAAAAGCAGTAAAGCCCTCTAAGTTTTTAGATGCTCAGATAGCAAGGATATAGTCTGAAATCTCTATTGTGAAAAAATCCTTGTAATTTACTTAGGGCAAAAGACAAGCAAATAAATCAGTTACATTTTGTATATGGTATTCAATTTTAAATAATCTCTTCAGATTATGTAACAAGATTGGGGGTGTAATAAGCACTGATATGCATCTGTTATGTATTTGTATGGCTATGTGTGCTAAGTCACTTCAGTCGTGTCCAACTATTTGTGACCACACGGACTGTAGCCCGCCAGGCTCCTCTGTTCATGGGATTCTCCAGGCAAGAATACTAGAGTGGGTTGCCATTCTCTTCTCCAGGGGATCTTCCTGACCCAGGGATCGAACACATGTCCCCTGCATTGGCAAGAAGATTCTTTACTTGGGAAGCCCTGGACTTTGGTTACCTCATCTATAAAATGATGAGTTTTATAGAGGCTAAATTGTTCAGTTGATATTTAGGGAACACCAGCTTGTGTCAGATATTTTTACTAAGAAATGGGGATATAAAAAAAAAATCTTACCCTAGAGTCATTACAATTCTTTTCTGTAAGACAGCCACATACGGATTCATTGCAGTAAAACAGTAAAAGCTTTTGGAGAATTAGAATCATAGTCCCAGGAACCCAGAAGATAGAGAATTAGCGCCACCTACAGGGTCAGGGAAGGCTCATTTGATTTGGGTCTTGAAGGAGAATATTCTCAGGAAAATTGGAAGATGAGTTGGATGGAGCAGGACTGGGAGTGGAATAGGTATTCCAGGGAGAAGAGCTTTAGGAAGGCTTGCATGTGTGAGGGATGGCAAGATCAAAGTGGCAAAGACATACAGGATCTCTAGGATACTTTTAATCAGCAAAAATAAACATTCAGTGAAAGTGAAAGTCGCTCAGTCATGTCCGACTCTTTGCCACCCCATGGACTATACAGTCCATGGAATTCTCCAGGCCAGAATACTGGAGTAGGTAGCCTTTCCCTTCTCCAGGGGATCTTCCCAACCCAGGGATTGAACCCAGGTCTCCCGCATTGCAGGCAGACTCTTTACCAGCTGAGCTACACATTCAGAGTTTTTAATAACATTCAGAGTTTTTAATAATTTAAAAACATTTAAATTTAAAGACATTCAGAGTTTTAAACATTTAAATTTAAAAACATTCAGAGTTTTTAATAAATTTGCACCTTGATCTGTAAAGTTCATCCTTATCTACTTTTTAAGGATAGCTAAAGATGTAGCTTAAACTGTTTTGAACTTTTGGTCTGTGACTAAAATACATCATTTCTCCAAGACTTAGGAAGTTAAGGCTCGAAACATTTTTAAATTCAACATTTTGAATGAGATGTACTTAGAACTAGAGCAACTTACTTGTTTACATTTTGCCCCAAAGTACAAGCTAAAATAAAAAATCTCATCCAAATGCATTTGTGACTTCCTTAATTTTTTCTTTCTTATTGTCTAATTTAAGAGGATCTCTTCAACTGTTAGTGGTTTTTGTATTTTGCAGGTATGGAAACTGTTCCTTGGTTTCCAAAGAAGATTTCTGATCTGGACCATTGTGCCAACAGAGTTCTGATGTATGGATCTGAACTGGATGCTGACCATCCTGTAAATATTTTAAATATAAAATATAAAAATATAAAATGTTCATGAAAATAATTTAAAACAAACTAAAAAGTTAAGGGTATTATTTTTCTTTTTTAGAGAAAGTACTTATTCTAGACTAAATAAGGATCTTGATTAATCTGAGTTTCAGGAAGTGTTATTAGACCTTCATGTTGGTGGACCTGATACCAAGTGACTGAACAGTGTCCAATTTCATTGACTCTACAACATCTGTCCCATGTCTGGGATTCTTAAAATTGAGAGCTCTTCCAAGAATTATACTGCAGTAAGACCGTGTCTGCAGTTTCTATTAAAATGTGATACAGTATAGGTGTGAGTTGGAGCATTACTAAGTCTGGAGCATTAGGACTTCTTATGGATGTCTAGGATCCTAGGAGGGGAGGAGAGGAGCGAGTCTGCATTAGAGTTGTGCAGGCCAGGGATTTAATCTAGCTTCTATCACTCATTAGCTGTGTAAATGTGACCGTGTACCGCTTTAGACAGCCCCCAGCTGATCAGTGAATTTATAATAATATCTTATTAGGTAAGCATTGGAATTAATAAATTCCCGTAACTGCCCTTGGGGAGCTTACAGTCTAGCTGCAAAAGTAAGCTGTGTGTATATAAACACAGATACAAGATTTTAATATGAAAAGTGTGCTAAGTGCCTTGCAAAGGCTGTTTTGAGATGTACACAAGGGAGGAAACACTTCTAGCTGAAGAGATCAGAGAAAGGCAACCTGTTAACTTGGTCTTAGAGAATTCTGGCAGGAAAGAGATGGGGAGAAAGGACAATTCATTGCAAAATGAGCAAAGATTCAAAGGTAAAAAAATCTGGGACATGTTTACGGAAAGGGGAAAGGGGTGTAAATCAGTTTTACTGACCTACTACCAAGGCCTGCTGATTTTCACCTCCTAAATATTTCTTAAATTTGTTCCTTGTTTATTCTTACTATCATACCCCTTAACTTATTTCCCTGCCTTCAGCCTTGCCACCTCCATCCTATCCTCCTCATAGTCACAAGAATGATCTAAAGCCTGAGTGTCACCATTATCCCTCGTGTGCATAAGTACAGATCTAAGAAAATTGAAAACATAAGTCCATGAGAAAACTTGAACAAGGATGTTCATGAAAGCATTATTCATAGTAGCAAAAAGGTAGAAACAACCCAAATATCTATCCATGATGAATATACCATTAAGCATGGTATATCCCCCAAATGAAATACTAATAGCCATAAAAAAGCGTGAAATACTCAACATGTTACAGCATGGGTGAAAAACCTTGAAAGCACTGTCATAGTGAAAGAAAAGCCATTCACAAAAGGCCATATATTGTGTGATTTCTTTTATACACAATGTCCAACAGGCACATTCCTAGCAACAGGAAGTAGATTAGTGACTTTCAGGGCTGAGGGTGAGGGAAAATGGGAATAGACTGCAAATGAGTAGAATGTTTCTTTTGGGGGTGATAAAGTGTTCTGGAAATTATGGTGGAGGTGGTTGTACAATATCCTAAAACCCACTAAATTGTACACTTTAAAATGTCAGTTTTAAGGTATGTGATTTTACATCTTGCTAGTTGTTATTTAAAAAAAAATCCCAATGACTTCCAATTACCCCAAGAGTAAAATCTAGGCTCTGAAACAGACCTTTATTAGCAGGCCTGTAGCTAGTCTTCACCGTGCTCCACCTCACTCTCTAGATCCAGCAGTGATGGGTTGGGTATGTTTTCCTAGGCACAGCACGCTAGTTTTCATTTCTGCGCTGTCCTTGGTGCTGTGCTTCCTGTCCCACACCTAGCCCTCTCACCTCCTCTTCTGAGACTCAGCTTAGGAGTCATCGCCGGGGACCCTTCCCCCACCCCCACCCCCCCCCGCCCCCGTCCTCTTCACATACTCTGGATTATGAGTTTCTCTTGTGAGTTCAAGTGGTATTTTGTGCCTGTCTCTAACAAGCCATTTATCATATTACTTCAAAATCATTGGTTAAAATAAACTCCTTGAAGACCCAGATTGTACTGTGTTTTTCTGAATTTTAGCACAAGGCCAGGTGCATAGTAGGGACTTCTAAATCTATGTCAAACATACAAGTCTCATTCTTTCCTTTCAGTTGTCCTCCCCTTCTTCCCTATTTAGTTTTGTTGATTATTTTCTCCTGAGATTTGCTTTTTGATGCCTTATTTTGCCTATTTTTTCTTAACAGGTGTAAATTCTAATGTTACTATTTTGTCTGTTTTTATTATCATTATTTGCTTCTGCAAATGATTAATATGTCAGCATTTTGCAATAAACTCTGAGGCTAGATTCAGCTGCCATAATATCAAGTATTAGTAATTACTACTTTGTTATTAATTACAGGAAAATATAACTGAAGATGTAGTTAAACAATTAAGAAAAAACTCACCTTTGCAAAAGAGCCATGTACTTTAACAAGGGTGGTACTTTTCTTTTTCCTCAAACTATTTTATTTTTGTAGCTACTGTAGTATTTTTATATCCATAATATCTTTTATCTTTGCAGTCACTATCATATAAAGCTGTCATATAACAATGACTTTAAAATGATCATAAACTTCTAAACAGTGCTTGCTCAAAATAAGTTATACAGCCCTTCTTTATAGTCATTCACATAATAATGAAATGTTTTCTAAATCATTTGTCAAGTATATTTTAGTATGGATATTTAAAAACTTTTCTTTAATTATTAGGGCTTCAAAGACAACGTCTACCGTAAAAGACGAAAGTATTTTGCAGATTTGGCTATGAACTATAAACAGTAAGTGTACTATAAAAATAACTTAATCAACTTTGAAATAACGAAATAAATTATGCTTATATAGTAAATAGAAAACAAAATATGTGCTACTGCTTATTGGATGCTAATTCAAAATGACTTCTTCTCTTTATCTCATTAGTGGAGACCCCATTCCTAGGGTTGAATTCACTGAAGAAGAGATTAAGACCTGGGGAACTGTGTTCCGAGAACTCAACAAACTTTACCCAACCCACGCCTGCAGAGAGTATCTCAAAAACTTACCTTTGCTTTCTAAATACTGTGGATACCGGGAAGATAATATTCCACAATTGGAAGATGTCTCAAACTTTTTGAAAGGTAATGAGCTAATTAATTTTTGTAAGGGGAGTATTGAACTCTTTTTCAATCACAACAGAATTTTTAATAGAGGACTAACGTCTAGTTATATGGGAAGTCAGAATTTTTCTGTATTCTGTCCTGGAGAATTGGGCACCACGTTTGAAGCGGGATGTTCATAACCTGGAGCAAATGTGGAGGAAAGTGAGCAGAATTATAAGGGATAGGAAAATGTATCAGATAAGTAAAATTTGAAGGATCCTTAGGGAATCTGGGAATTTAGGGGGGAGTTTATAGCTTTATTTAAATATTTGAAGGTCATCTTATGTATTAGAGGGATTATTATACAGCTCTAAGGTAAAGGACAGTTGGATAGAAAGAGCAAACTTTTAGTTCGAAACGGAGAAGATCTTGCTAAAATAGCCATTTGAAATGCAGCAGGCTAATGAGATAATTCATTCTACATGCATGGAAATGTTCATGCAAAAGTTCCATACCCACTGAGGGATGTGATGGAGAAGACTCAGGCACCTTCAGACAGGTTGGAGTAAATGATCTCTGAAGTCCCTTTCTACACTAAGATTCTATTGTTTTCCCAAGAAAGAAGATGTTTTAGGGGAAGCATAAATGAAGAGTAAGGACAACTTTCCTCCTTTTAGTCCATCATGCTTACTTGGGCCAGGTTTCCTTATTTTTTCCTAGCAAAAGTAAGAAATAAAATGAATGATCAATGATCTCCAGAGTCTACAGTATGTAAGAGAAATAAATATCCCCTTTGATCTCAGCAGATTAGAACCTTAGGGGAAAAAATAGAAGTTATGTTTTTGACTCAAAGGGAGTTTAATGAAAGTGAAAGTTGCTCAGTTGTGTCCAACTCTTTGCGACCCCAAGGACTATAGAGTTCATGGAATCCTCCAGGCCAGAATACTGAAGTGGGTAGCCTTTCCCTTCTCCAGGGGATCTTCTCAGCCCAGGGATTGAACCCAGCTGGATTCTTTACCAGCTGAGCCACAAGGGAAGCCCAAGAGTGGGTAGCTTATCCCTTCTCCAGCAGATCTTCCCAACCCAGGAATCGAACCAAGGTCTCCTGCATTGCAGGCAGATTCTTTACCAACTGAGCTATCAGGAAAGCCCCAAAGGGAGTTTATCTTATGGAGTTGAATAATATGTAATAGTATTTTCCAATCATAATAGAATTTATTACATTGACTGTTATAAACATCTACATATTTTTCAACTCCATAACTCTCATTCCTCAACCACTATATACAAAACTAAGAACTAAACAGAAGATGGCAATATAGTTTTTACAAGGGAAGAACTCATGGTAGTAGTTCCTATGAAAACTAGATTTAAAAATAGTAGTGATTAAGAATGGCAGAGAACCAAAGCACATGAACTTGTGGGGCTTAACAAAGATAGACTAACATATGCTACGGAAGTTATTATCAAAGCACATTTACATGAGATTTAGAGAAAATATTTTGTTATGGATATGAAACTGAAAGCTGATCACTTAGGGTCTGGAGCTTGAGCAGGCTGCAGAGCTTATAGCTAAAGATGTTTCAAGGGAAAGTGTCAAAGACAGAAACCAAAATTAAAAGTCAGTTCCAACAAAATGTGAGTTGGAAAGCACTACCTTCCCTGGAAAATATGGTGGCCACTAGACAACTGTGGTTGTTTAAGTAATTAAAATAAATGTAAATCAAGATGCTAGTTCCCCAACCGCATTAGCCACATTTCAGTGTTCAGTGGCCACACGTGGCTAGTGGATACCCTATTGGGTAGTCCACATAATGAACATCTCCATTTTTTTGGAAAATTCTTTTGCCCACCAGAGTGGGAGAATTCAAGTACAAAGGAATGGGGTGGAACTGGAATTACCAGAATGTGAGAACTGAAGTTGAAAGGTCCTAGGATGACCCACAAGACCTGCTAGAACTAACATCAAAACAAGATGTCCTTTTCATCAGAGGAGACTGGAATGCAAAAGTAGGAAGTCAAGAGATACCTGGAGTAACAGGCAAGTTTGGCCTTGAAGTACAAAATGAAGTAGGGCAAAGGCTAACAGAGTTTTGCCAAGAGAATGCACTGGTTATAGCATACACCCTCTTTCGACAACACAAGAGACAACTCTATACGTGGACATCACTAGATGGTCAATACCAAAATCAGATTGATTATATTCTTTGCAGCCGAAGATGGAGAAGCTCTATACAGTTAGCAAAAACAAGACCAGGAGCTGACTGGCTCAGATCATGAACTTATTGCAAAATTCAGACTTAAATAGAAGAAAGTAGGGAAAACCACTAGACCATTCAAGTATAACCTACATTAAATCCCTTATGACTATACAGTGGAAGTGACAAATAGATTCAAGGGAATAGATCTGATAGACAGAGTGCCTGAAGAACTATGTACAGATGTTTGTGACATTGTACAGGAGGCAGTGATCAAGACCATCTCTAAGAAAAAGAAATGCAAAAAGGCAAAATGGTTGTCTGAGGTTGTCTTGCAAATATTTGAGAAAAGAAGAGAAGCTAAAGGCAAAGGAGAAAAGGAAAGCTATACCCATCTGAATGCAGAGTTCCAAAGAATAGCAAAGAGAGATAAGAAAGCCTTCCTCAGTGATCCATGCAAAGAAGTAGAGGAAACAATAGAATGGGAAAGACTAGCAATCTCTTCAGGAAAATTAGAGATACCAAGGGAACATTTCATGCAAAGATGGGCACAATAAAGGACAGATATGATATGGACCTAATAGAAGCAGAAGACATTAAGAAGAGGTGTTAAGAATACACAGAAAAACTATGCAAAAAAGATCTTCAGGATCCAGATAACCATGATGGTGTGATCACTCACCTAGAGCCAGACAGCCTGGAATGCAAAGTCAAGTGGGCCTTAGGAAGCATCACTATTAACAAAGCTAGTGGAGGTGATGGAATACCAGTTGAGCTGTTTCAAATCCTAAAAAATGATGCTGTTAAAGTGCTGCACTCAATATGCCAGCAAATCTGGAAAATCAGCAGTGGCCACAGGACTGGAAAAGGTCAGTTTTCATTCTAATCTCAAAGGAAGGCAATGCCAAAGAATGTTCAAACTACTGCACAATTGTACTCATCTCACATGCTAGCAAAGTAATGCTCAAAATTCTCCAAGCCAGGCTTCAACAGTATGTGAACTGAGAATTACCAGATGGTCAAACTGGATTTAGAAAAGGCAGAGGAACCTGAGATCAAATTGCCAACATCTGTTGGATCATAGAAAAAGCAAGAGAGTTTCAGAAAAACATCTACTTCTGCTTTATTGACTACGCCAAAGCCTTTGACTGTGTGGATCAAAACAAACTGTGGAAAATTCTTCAAGAGATGGGAATACCAGACCACCTTAGCTGCCTTCTGAGAAATCTGCATGCAAGTCAAGAAGCAACAGTTAGAACTAGACATGGAACAACAGACTGGTTCCAAATCAGGAAAGGAGTATGTTAAGGCTGTATACTGTCATCTGCTTATTTAACTTATATGCAGAGTATATCATGTGAAATGCTGGGCTGGATGAGGCACAAGCTGGAATCAAGATTGCTGGGAGAAATATCAATAACCTCAGCTATGCAGTGATACCACCCTTATGGCAGAAATCGAAGAACTAAAGAGCCTCTTGATGAAAGTGAAAGAGGGGAGTGAAAAAGTTGGCTTAAAACTCAATAATCAGAAAACTAACATCATGGCATCTGGTCCCATCACTTCATGGCAAATAGAAAGGGAAACATGGAAACAGAGGCTTTATTTTCTTGGGCTCCAAAATCACTGCAGATGGTGACTGCAGCCATGAAATTAAAAGGTGCTTGCTCCTTGGAAGAAAAGCTATGACCAATCTAGACAGCATATTTAAAAACAGATACATTACTTTGCCAACAAAAGGGTCCATCTAGTCAAAACTATGGTTTTTCCAGTGGTCATGTATAGATGTGAGAGTTGGACCAGAAAGAAAGCTGAGCACTGAAGAATTGATACTTTTGAACTGTGGTGTTGGAGAAGACTCTTGAGAGTCCCTTGGAGTGCAAGGAGATCCAACCAGTCCATGCTACAGGAAATCAGTTCTGAATATTCATTGGAAGGACTGATGCTGAAGCTGAAACTCCAATACTTTGGCCACCTGATGAGAAGAACTGACTCACTGGAAAAGACCCTGATGCTGCGAAAAATTGAAGGCGGAAGGAGAAGGGGACGACTGAGGATGAGATGGTTGGATGGCATCACTGACTCGATGGGCATGAGTTTGAGCAAGCTCTGGGAGCCGGTGATGGACAGGGAAGCCTGGTGTGCTGCAGTCCATGGGGTCGCGAATAGTCGGATATGACTGAGCGACTGAACTGAACTGAACTGAGAGTTTGAAGTAAAGGACAGGATTAAAGCTTATAGAGGTCCCCAGAGCCACTGAAGCAAGTGACTTTTACAGTGGGCACGCAGTCTCAACTGCTGGGGAATGAAAGAGCACCAGTCAGTTCAGATAAAGAAACTGCAAGAGGGAGTAATGGCTAAAAATGTCGTAGTTTCAAAAAATGGTTCTGGTCTAAATTAATAGATTTTTAAAGTTTTTTTTTTTTTTTTTAAAGAAGATTGTCTAAGGGTTACTTTAAGCTCTTCATAGAGATAGCAAGTTGTAGTGTAGGGCCTGGGTTCATCCTACATTTATCATCTACTGTGTGGCCTTGGGCACATTATTGAGTCTTTGAGCTATAGTTTTCTAGTTGGCACAATGAAGAGACTGAACTTTAACTCATAAACATGAAGGGAGATGTCATGTGTAAAAATTCATAATTCATTGTCTGGCCACCACAAGTGCTTAATAATTATGACTTGTATGACACGTTTTAATTTCATGTTCTCCCTCAAAGTGTCAACTTGGTGCCACTGTCAGAATTAAAATGTTGCAGTGACTCGTCTATTCTGGTGAATATTTTTCTCCTTTGCTTTGCAGAACGCACAGGTTTTTCCATCCGTCCTGTGGCTGGTTACTTATCACCAAGGGATTTCTTATCAGGTTTAGCCTTTCGTGTTTTTCACTGCACACAATATGTGAGACACAGTTCAGATCCTCTCTACACTCCAGAACCGTAAGTACTCCTATTGCAGCATCCATCTATCAATATGGTACTTACCTCATGAGTTTTTTCTTTTTTATGAAGATCAAGTGAATTAGCACATGTAAAGCATTTTGAATGATGCCTGGCCTGTAATACATGTTCTATGCGCTATACGTGTTAGCCATTATTATTACCAGTAGTAATTGACAATCTGTTAGGTACCAAGTACTGTTTTAAGCATAGGGGATGTAAGACTGAAAAAAATTCAAGGTTTCCTGCCTTCATAGGGCTTATATTCCAATGGGAGATACAGACAATAAACAAACAAGTAAATACGAATAAAATAGAATATCAAGTGGTTATAAGTTCCATGGAGAAAAATAAAGTAGGGAAAAGGGACAGAGGGGTGTGTGTGTGTGGTGTGTGTTTCTATTTTGAAAAGAGTGATCAGACAAGGACTCTCTGAGAAGGTGACATTTGAACAGAGACCTGACTTGGGGGTGGAGGTGGGGCGACATGTGGATGTCTCTGTGTATTTGTGTGAATTTGTGTATATGTGTTTGTGAATGCCCAAGGTTTTGAACCAAAATAATTTCTTTACTATCATAATGTCCTTTGTGGTCCATTTCCAAAGTAATACCACATGATCAGTTTGAATAAAAGTAAGATCAGGTTTTTATTTGATTGAATGGTTGATCATGCATTTATGTTAAACGTCACAGTGTGTCAACTTGTACGTCTTTTCCAGAGATACCTGCCATGAACTCTTAGGTCATGTCCCCCTTTTGGCTGAACCTAGTTTTGCTCAGTTCTCCCAAGAAATTGGCCTGGCTTCTCTCGGAGCTTCAGAAGAGGCTGTTCAAAAACTGGCAACGGTATAAATCTGGAAATCAATTAAGATGATTAATTCTTAACTGGGGTGGGATGTGGGTATTTGTGTAGTTTAAAAGTACATATTCCAGATGAGCTTTAGAAAATTTGTCTCTGCTCATACTTAATTTAATTTAAATAATTTAAATAACATTAAAGGAAGACATTTAAGGTTTATCCAAAGAAGATGTGGTAGGCTACAGTCCATGGGGTTGCAAAGAGCCGGACATGACTGAGCGACTTCACTTCAAAGAAGACATGAGCTTAAAACAAAAGGGCAGAGAAACAAAGAACACCAGAATACAACAATGTTAATAGTTTATATACTTTTCAGTAAAAATGATAGGTTCTCTAAAATGATGCTACAAATATTTTTTAGCACTTTATAAGACATCATGCTGGAAATAGAAAGATGAGTAAAGTCTAATTCCCACCTTCAAGGAACTTAATGTGTTAGTCACCCAGTCATGTCCTACTCTTTGTCACCTCTTGAACTATAGCCTGCTAGGCTCCTCTGTCCATGAAATTCTCCAGGCAAGAATACTGGAGTGGGTAGCCATTTCCTCCTCCAGGGGATCTTCCTGACCCAGGGGTTGAACCTGGGTCTCCTACATTGCAGGCAGATTCCTTACTGCAGAGCCACCTGGGACGCCCATAAAATGGTTTATTGTATCTTAAAATTAATTAGTCAATATTTAAATTTTGTCTCAGTTTACATTTGAATATGGTAAATATAGCTAGTTATATCCCACATAAACGGATGGTCCTTAGGGCCCTCAGTTATTTTTAAAAGTATTTAAGAATTCTGGGAACAAAAGTTTGAGATGTCTGACTTGGTCAAGGCCAGACTGTAGAAATATTGTGAGCTAGTCTGAGGGTCTTGGATTTTATTCCAGGGTAATTTAGGTCAGTGACTAAGAGTCATAATTTGTTTTAAATTGAGCCATTCACGATGTGAAAGTAACACTGATGTCCTTTTGCAGTGCTACTTCTTCACTGTGGAGTTTGGTCTGTGCAAACAAGAGGGGCAGCTAAGAGTCTTTGGTGCCGGCTTACTTTCTTCCATCAGTGAACTCAAAGTAAGAGCTGTAAATATTTGCACGTGACCATGTTCACTTAATGTAATTGATACCACCTGAAATAGTTTCTGGATTTGAACAAGAGCTTACTGTGGAAAATACTTGGGGTGGCAGTGAGCATTATGTAAGAGGTATTTTTCTCTTTCATAAGTTTTCTGAATATAGATGCCTATTCAGAATTAGATATATCTTCTAAATAAAAAAGTATTTTAAAGCTTTTGCTTAACAAAGTCTTGCTGTTTCCTCTCTGTTTTTGGTGTGCTAGCAAGAACTTCAGTACTTTCTAGGGAATTCTTCAATGAGATTTATTATGTATCCAATAAAGGAATGAACCTCTGTTTGTTAGGTGGTGAGTGTGTATTCAGTACAGTCCTGCTCTCAAAGAGCCCACTACCTGCTGGAGGGTACAAGTCACGTACAGAAATAACTACTGTTGAGTAGAAAGCAGATGCCATATTAACAGTAAATAAATAAAGACCCTTGGGTACATCCTACATGGAGAAGAGTGTTATAAAGAGTGGGGCATTTATAGGGAATAGCAATTCATTTGTTTTGCTTTAGTATATTGTGGATTAAATAGAGATGTAGGAAATAAGTTTGGAATTGTAGACTGGGACCACTGTGTTAGTAATACATTCAGAGGTGTGCTGATTCTGGCAGTTGTGTGAAGAAGGTGATCTATGAAAATGGATAGTATTCTTTGATTCACAGACCCTTTGTCCTCTAGCACGCTCTTTCCGGACACGCCAAAGTAAAGCCCTTTGACCCCAAGATTACATGCAAACAGGAGTGTCTCATCACAACTTTTCAGGATGTTTACTTTGTATCTGAAAGCTTTGAAGATGCAAAGGAGAAGATGAGGTAAAGTATATCTTCCTCATGCCTTAATTTTCCTCTGCCTTAGATAGGTCCAGTAATGTAACAAGTCACAGAAGTAAGCAGCTAATAATTAGAAGTCTTCTAAGCCTTCTGCCTGGGACATATCTCCCTTCCACAGTAAATATTTAGGATGTGTTGTTTACAGTGATGTTCAGGGTTGCAAATATGAATCAGATACACTGAGAAATTGGTTACTTCCCATTCCTTCCTATCAGAGAGTTTATAATCTAATAGGGAAAACAAAATGTATGCAAATTACTATGTAACAAATTGGAAGCCTTGAAGAGATACAGATGAAACATTATTTTGCCTTTTATCTAGGAGCAATTCATTCCAGCCAGGGGAAAGGGAAAGCTTAATGGCATTTGAAAAAGGACTTGAAGTATACATAGGGTTTAGATATGTTCAATATTAGACTAATGGACAGTATTCCGTTTTCATCATTTCCCCCCTAGAAACTGATTGCCTCTTATTTGTTTTCTTATATAGAGAATTTACCAAAACAATCAAGCGTCCATTTGGAGTGAAGTATAATCCGTATACACGGAGTATTCAGATCTTGAAAGATACCAGGAGTATAACCAGCGCCATGAACGAGCTTCAGCATGAGCTTGATGTTGTCAGTGATGCCCTTGCTAAGGTCAGCAGGCAGCTGAGCATCTGACAGTTACCGGTCCTAATCCCGAAAGCATCTGAGCACCAATTCGGAGGCCTGTGGGCCAACTGTGGCTTTGCTTGAAGAGCTGATTGTGGAGGGATAGCAGCCAAACAACATTCTCTACTCCCATTCTTTAAGGGACCATTACTCTTTGAAAACGTGTACCCAGATACCCCGAGCACACATCTAGATATTTTAGCCACTACTTATTTTTTTCTTTTGGTAACAGCTTTTGGAAGTATAATTCACATACTATACAATTCACTGACCATCCCAGTTTTTATAGAGAATTTGCTTGACCCAATGGATAGATCTGTTCTTAGCTTGATTTTATTTTCCCCAGTTCTTCTTGAGTAAAATGATGATCACTTAAAATACCTTGATGGTTATTATGGAGCTAATCCATATGTTATCTAAGATCCTCTTATTTCTACAGTATCTTACTTATCATCAAATTTGGGCCAAGCTTAGTCGCATTCACATGCCTCAATTTAATAGGAAACCAACTCTCCACTGCTAGCCTGAGCAAAAGCAGAGAGAACTTTGCATATGAAATATGCCTAATAAAGAGTAGATAGTCTAATTTTAAGTGTAATGTCTTATAGGGAAATAGGAGTATCTAAATCTAGAAAGGCTGATTGGGATATAATCATTAGGAATATGTGACTTTATTTTGTAGGCACTAGGGAGCCCCTGCTGAGTGCCCATCCTCCTTGGGGATGGCCTTTTCTTTCTATGGCGCTGTGTATGTTTTACACGATCTGCCCTACTGAGGAGGCCAAAGGGAACTTAGTGGGAATGCCACTTGCAAGGACCTGAACTCAGACATGCAGCCCCAGAGAATGTCCTCAGGTTAGCACGATACAGTGTTGTTAGAGGGAGAGTTAAAACTGAGACAGAGGAGAGACATACCAAGTTAAAGTTGGAAAGCAGTGCCAAGCACTTTATCTCCAAGGTGTAAGGGGAGACCATAAATAGGAAGGCCAGGCCTGAGGGCATAGGGCGGGGAAATGGGGAAGAAGATGGTGTAAGAAACGCCAGGAAGGGCATTTTAGGCCTGACGCTGAAACTGACGGTAGCTAGCACCGGCTTCTATGTGGTGTCAGCGGTGTAGCACAAGGAGCAGGCCTGGTATTGACGGGTGACTCTGGAGTCCACAGGACAGGCTTTTATTTCTTCAGTTTGCTCCCTTTCTCCCCCTACCCACTAAAAGAAGACTTTCCTCAAGTTTCTGCTTTTGGCCCTCTTTTCTCTCTGCTTTCTGTTCATGGAGATGTCATCCGTGTCCATAACTTCAATTCTTATTCCATACATCTCCCATATTTGCAATTCTAACTCTTAACACCTGTCTTGAGTTTTTGCCTTTTAAATCCAACTGCCTACTAGATGTTGCCATCTAATGCCCCATAAATTAGGCCAATGTTGTGTAACTTCTTGTCACACTATTTACATAGAATGAAATGGGGTTGTGCAAAATGGCAGCCCTGCCAAGAATTTTAAACTCTATAGGTCCAAAAAGGAACTCAGAATCACCTGAGTATCGTGCTCCATCAGTTTCCTCTCCCACTGATCTCATTTCTAGTAATGGTGAATGAAACTGAAACTGTTAGTCACTCAGTCATGTTTGACTCTTTGTGATGCCATGGACTGTAGACCACCAGACTTCTCTGTCCGTGGGATTCTCCAGGCAAAAATACTGCAGTGGGTAGCCATTCCCTTCTCCAGGGGATCTTCCCGACCCCAGGATCGAACCTGAGTCTCCTGCATTGCAGGCAGATTCTTTACTGTCTGAGCCACCAGGGGAGCCAGGGCCACATTTTCAGCCAATTTTCTGTTTTTAATCAGCTACTTTAAAAACTGGGTCCTTAATTTGTTTCACATTAATAGTCAAACTGTATACCATTTAACTTTTTTTTTCAACAGATCACTAGATATTTTAATCCTTTTTAGGCCTCAAAGGATAATTTTAAAACTCTTAAAATTTATTTCATTTTATATTATACAAGGAAGTAGAATTAGGAAGAGTAATTTATGCTACTTCAGATTTTTACATTACCTGTAAATTTTAATAGCTGATCAACTGTTAAATATACCTTTGATAGTACTAGATCTACGTCAGTTAATCTGAAACCATTTGAAATATTGGTTAGGTAGTTTATAGTATTTGGTTGCAAGGAAATCTATGAAGCAAACCATGAAAGATAGCAAATAACAACAAATTATGCATACTATGTCTGGTTATTTTCATACAACCTTGATTATGGTAAAGAATCATAGTTATTGAATTTTTAAACGATGGTATTTCAAATCACTCTATGATTAAAACACACTAAAGTAAATGTTAAATACACAACAATTATAATTCACATCTTCAGAATAATGGAAATATTTTATGATTGATTTCAGATCTTCTAACCTCTGAATTTGTGATATTTGGTAAATGAGGAATCCTTAGAGTCTTAGAGGTTTCATGCATTTTAAATATATTTCTTCAAAGCCTCAAGGGGTATGTTAATACTTACTCAAATATCAGAATAGATTTGAACCAAAAGTGTGGTTCATAATTCTTAATCAGTGAGTTATTACTCAGAGACATAGATGGTACTTTCCTGACTTTTTGAAGAACACTTCAAAATCTGGCTGTGAGAATGCCTACATTTCTTAATCTGCCATTAATTTTGTCATTTGGAGTTATACAGTGGTAATGACACACCAAAGTGTGTCCAAACTGAAAGAGAAAAATCCTGGAATTACTAGAGCAACACGTAAGGAGTTCATATACTAATCTCTAGGAAATGTATAAAGACACTGTGGTCTTATTTCAGTCTTGTCTTTATTTTACAATGTGATACACATTTATGATTTGAAAGTTTGTTAGTCATTTGGATAATAAAAGGACACAAAATTTATGTTTTCAATAAGCATATATGTTTGTCAAATGTATGTTAAAAATGGATTTAAATGTATATTAGCAATTTTATTAGTTTCAAAAATCTGTAACATCCTTATTCTTTTTAAAAAAGCCTATGAATATGTGATATAAGTGAAGTCAAATACACCTGGAAAACCTAGTAACCACTTTTTGGAATTCTTGATAAAGTTTCAGTCTCATGTTTCTCATCTGTTAAGTGGGTTAGATGTACTTTCCTGGGTTATTGTAAGAATTACACTGTGAGAGGACTCTGTAAAAATAAACTTATTAGCCTTATTAGTTATAATAATAAACTTATTATTCTTATTAGTAAAGAATCATTGGGGCTTCTCGAGTGGCTCAGTGGTAAAGAATCAGTCTACCGATGCAGGGGACGCAGGTTTGATCCCTGGTTCAGGAAGATCCCCGAAGAAGGAAATGGCAACTCACTCCAGTGAGAACCCCATGGACAGAGGAGCCTGGCATGTTGTACTCCTTGGGGTCACAGAAGAGTCAGACCTGACTTAGCCACTGAACAACAGCAAAGAATCATTAATCTCCTTATCAGAACGCCTTCATAGCTTCTGGATGATTTTATCTTCCTCCAGAAGGAATTAACTTTTGCTTGAGCAGGCAGTGTATAATGGCAGGGGGTGCTCATCTTAGTCTAGGCGGGAACTAAGTCAACTTGATGATATGTTTCAGTCTTTGTTTCTGCTGCTGCTAAGTCACGTCAGTCGTGTCCGACTCTTGCGACCCCACAGAAGGCAGCCCACCAGGCTCCTCCATCCCTGGGCTTCTCCAGGCAAGAAGGACTGGTCTATCTATCTCCAGGTCACCTCTACTCTTAGGGTGCGGCTCTTTGGGATTCTCAAAGGAGAGCTTTGAGTATGTACCAGGGCTTCTCCTGGGGGATCCTGGACTTCTGCTCTCCTCTGCTTTACTCTTATTCCTCCTGATCACATAAAATTGCTAAAAGTACTGTTCATTTTCTCGGCTTCTCAGCTGCTGCTTTCAGCCCAGCTCCTTCCTTTTTTTCTTTCAGCCCAACTTCTTAGCCTCCAAGTCACTGCTTGCTAATTAGCAAATGCTTCAAGCAGAAAAGTAGTGCCAAATGAAATCTCTCAGCTTTTAGATCCTGGCCCTCCAAGTTCTGGCTGCTTTCATAGCCCTCCAATGACTTAAAACAAATTTAAAAAATATTTTCCCATCTTTCCTAATTGTTTTTGGTGAGAGAACTGATCTGTAGCTAGCTAATCTGCCTATATTAAAAGCAGAAATCTGACCTTGGAGTAAATCATTTAATTTCTTTGAGCCTCAGTTTTCTCATCTATAAAATAATGATTCCAACAGTAGTTATTATACCAGTAAAATTGAGAGGATCAAATAAGATAATCCAAAAGAAAAAAACTTCCTAACCTGTATAGTATACAGATATATTCCATATACTCAGAAAACTTCATATTTTCCTCTTATGGGGAGACAAGGCACCTGAAAGTGTTACCAACAAATAATTCAAATATAGCTTCATTCAATAACTCATCAAATAATTTGTATCTAGCTTCATTGCTCAAACTCATGTCTAACTCGATGGACATAGTTTGAGCAAGCTTGGGGAGCTGGTGACAGACAGGGAAGCCTGGCATGCTGCAGTCAATGGGGTCGCAAAGAGTTGGACACGACTGAGTGACTGAACTGAACTGAGCTTCATTCAAGAACTGAAACTCAGCCAAGTTGCTAATGGGAAGAGCTAGTCAGTGGTATGTACATAGTTCAAATATTGATAGTAGCTTCACTGCAACACTTTCAAGAAATTATATTAAGTGATATAACATAATAATATAAGTTAGTTAAAGTACTGATGCAAGTACATTCAAGGGATGAAACTGGGTAACAACTGTATTCTTCCAGATCCTCTCACTATGAAAACTGACTAGGTTGTTCCTTCATGTGCCCCTTTGAATGAAATCTCAGGTCCCTGTCTTGAATTTTCTGCTCACTTTAAGTCCTTTGCTTCTAAGCTCTTTCTCTCATTTCAGTATTTAAAAATCCCAGTGTTGTGAAAAAGGTCAAAACATTAAATTTTAAGATTAAAGTTTTTCCTCTCTTCTAGAACTGAGAAAGGAAGAGATGTGCTTTGTGTTTTTATTTTCTTGCGGCTCATTCTCCACTCACAAGAATGCCTCTGGCTCCTCTAGGGTTTGGGGGTGGTGATGAGGAGGAGAGGTAAGGAGTAAGAAGTTCTTTTTGGTTTGATACTATTGACTTGGTATATATGCTCTCTGTACTTGGTAAGTATTTAATGTTGACTCATTGTCTGTGGGTGTTTTGAAAGAGCTTCCCACTTCTTATTTCTTGGAATCTCTTAATTCGGGTATATTAATGTCTGACTGGGATGTTGAATTCATCTCTCTCAGCCTCTCTGAATCTAGTAGTCAACTCTCCTGTGGGTGTCCCTTCAGCCCTCCAGAAATTCCCATGGGCTGGATCTAACACTATACACTGGCCAATTTGCTCTCGCATGGCAAACACTCACATAGGAGATATCCAGACATTCTTTGTCTTAAAAAACTCTGGACATGAAAGACCTCTCCAAAGTATCAGTATCTCTGCTCACTATCAGAGCAGTTTTTTTTTTTCCATTTATTTTTATTAGTTGGAGGCTAATTACTTTACATCATTGCAGTGGTTTTTGTCATACATTGAAATGAATTAGCCATAGATTTACATGTATTCCCCATCCCGGTCCCCCCTCCCACCTCCCTCTCCACCCGATCCCTCTGGGTCTTCCCAGTGCACCAGGCCCCAGCACTTGTCTCATGCACCCAACCTGGTGATCTGGTGATCTGTTTCACCCTAGATAATATACATGTTTCGATGTTCTCTTGAAACATCCCACCCTCGCCTTATCCCAGAGTCCACAAGTCTGTTCTATACATCTGAGTCTCTTTTTCTGTTTTGCATATAGGGTTATCATTACCATCTTTCTAAATTCCATATATATGTGTTAGTATACTGTAATGGTCTTTATGTTTCTGGCTTACTTCGCTCTGTATAATGGGCTCCAGTTTCATCCATCTCATTAGAACTGATTCAAATGAATTCTTTTTAATGGCTGAGTAATATTCCATGGTGTATATGTCCCACAGCTTCCTCATCCATTCGTCTGCTGATGGGCATCTAGGTTGCTTCCTATCAGAGCAGTTATCTGGCCAGAAGCCATTGGACATTTCTCAGCATGAACTGGACAGCAACCTGAAGTGAAAGGTGCTCAGTTGTGTCCGACTCTTTGCAATCCCCTGAACTATACAGTCCATGGAATTCTCCAGGTCAGAATACTGGAATGGGTAGCCTTTCCCTTCTCCAGGGGATCTTCCCAACCCAGGGATCAAACCCAGGTCTCCCGCATTGCAGGTGGATTCTTTACCAGCTGAGCCACCAGGCAAGCCCAGATAGCAACCTCCCTGGTCCCAATCTGGAGGGATACATGCCAAGCTCTCTCAGTGGCCCTGCTGACGCTTGCCTTTCTTTAGACACAAAATAGGCAGGATTCATAGTACATTGACAATTATTGCACATATCCTGTCAGAATTCTCTCTCAGCCTCTTCAACCTCTTTCATAGACTTCCAGGGTATGTGAAGGTTTCTAGACACCTTCACAAGTTCTGCTTTGGTAGTTTTGTACCTCATTTTATGTGGGAGTAATTGGCACTTACTACCTTAGAGTCTTAGCCAAATGGAGATGAGGAGGGTCTCATTTTATACTATTACACATGCTTAAAAGGAATGGTCAGGGACTTCCCTGGTGGTCCAGTGGTTAAGAATCCACCTGCCAATGCAGGAGACAAGGGTTTGATCCTTGGCCGGGGAAGATACCACCTACAGTGGGGCAACTGAGCCCCGTGTGCTGCAACTACTGAAGTCCTTGCGCCTACAGCCCATACTCTGCAACAAGAAAAGCCACTGCAATGAGAAGCTTGCACACTACAATGAACAGTAGCCCTCGCCCACCACAACTAGACAAAGCCTGTGCACAGCAATGAAGATCCACCATAGCCAAAAATATTAATCAATTATTTAATTTTTTAAAAAGGAACGATATTCTGATCATATAAAAGGCCACTCTTATAAAAACAGGCTTCCCTGGTGGCTCAGCTGGTAAAGAATCTGCCTGCAGTGCTGGAGACCTGGGTTCGATCCCTGGGTTGGGAAGATCCCCTGGAGAAGGGAACAGCTACCCACTCCAGTATTCTGGCCTGGAGAATTCCATGGACAGTATGTAGTCACAAAGAATGGGACATATCCGAGAGACCTTCACTAAATCATTTAACTTATAAAGCAGTCAGCAAACAGTACAGTTTTTGCACATCAAGTTCTCTTGAGAACAAAGAGCTGCTTTGCCTCTCTAAGGTTTGCATTTTTATTAGCATGGTCCTCCATGTTTTCAAGATGCCGCAGACTGGAAAGGTAAACGTGAGGTGCTGCCCTTAAGTGGTCTTAAGGCAGAAACTCCAAGGAGTGGGAAAGAGTGGGAAGTACTGTAAGAGCCCAGGGAGACACTAGCAAGGGCCTCTCAGGCAAAAGGGGTGATGAGTCCTGGAGGCTTGTGTCAGCAGAGGGCTCAAGAAGCACTGAATATAGACTATCTTTATAATGGGACCCCATTTGTACCCGCAAGATAATTTGTGGCTTGGAGTGTGGGTTATGTACAAAAAGTACAAAAAAGAAAATAAAAATCACCTGTAATCCAACACCCAGCATGTGCATGCATGAAATTGATATAAAATTTGCTTTAATGATACATCATGAATATTTCTGTTACTATTTTACAAAACATGATTTTTTTTTAAAAAATGGCAGCAGTATTCAAGTGCATGGCTATATAATTTAATCAATTTGTTTTTGAACTTTAAGGACTTTAGAGTCTAAGCCCTTTACTATTATATGTAACCCCATAATGAATAACTTGCAGTCCAAGGGTTTGTGCATAGTTCCAATTTTTTTCCTTGTGATAAATAAGCAGAAGTGGAATTACTGACTAAATGACTATCTTCATATTCGTAGTATTCTTTGCTACATTTTCCTTCAGAAAAATTGTCCGGTAGTGTATGGAGGTGTGTCTGATAAAAGCTGTTTTATATGAAAATTTTTGTTGGGTGCAAATCATTCAGTTATTATTCAAGTTACTACCTGATGATCAGAATCCGGGCCAGGGCTACGTTGGTGGTGCTGAGGGTTAGAAGGCCTCCCCAGCAGGCAGGAATCAGTTGAAAACCAACCTCCCTAGTTCAATATCTCGGGGGTGAGTTCCCGCTCCGTGCCAGGAGCTGAGGGCGTTGAGCAACGCTGTAAGACACTACATTCGCCCACTAGGAAGCACACTTCGATTTTGCAAACTGCACACCAAAGCGGGCCCGAACCCAGTTTGGCCCAAGACAGAGTCAGGACCCTTTCCACCCCCCTTCCCAGGCTCAATTTCTTCCCCATCAAAATGGTGATGCAATCCCCGTCCGGTCAGCCACTCTGGGCTGTCATGGGTCTTTAACCTGAGCGAGCTTTGTGAACAGTTTAGTGTAGTGCAAGCGTACAGAATTATTACTAAAAATAAAGAGTGCGAGGGGAGGGAAGGAGATGCCCAGAGGCAGGGCGAGACCGGAGGCAGGGGGCGGAGACGCTCGTAGCGCGCCTGGGTGGGGTGATGGGGAAGTAGCTCCGGGAGCGGAGGACCCGCTCCCCCCGGGGCCAGGTTAGCAGCTGCAAGAGGGCGCGGCCAACTGCCAGCCGCAGACCCCTCCCCGGCGTGGGCGCCGCACACTCTTCACCAATCCCTCCCAAGGCCCGCCCCCGCCTCGGCAACCCTTTCCCGCGGCGGGCCCCGCCCCGCCCCCCTCCCCGCAGGTCCCACCCCCCTTCCCGGGAGTGCCCCGCCCCGTCCCCTCTCCGGAGAGGGCCCGCCCCCAGCCCCGCCCTCTCTCCGGGAGGGCCCCTCCCCGCGCCGGCCCCCCCCGGAAGCGCCGGCTGAGAGTGCCCGCATGGAGTCAGAGCCGCGCGCCTCAGAGGCCGTCCCTACCGCGGCCGCGCTCTTCGCCTGGGTACGTGACTCCGCCCCCGGACCGAGGCCGCTGGGACTGAGGGGTCGCAGAGACCCTGGGAAGCCCCCGTCCAGGGTATGGGCGGCGCTGGGGCCCAGCGGTCGAGGTCGAGGTCCGAGAGGCGCTCCGGGTTGGAGGATCCTGGGCTGAGGCCTGGGTAGGAGAGGGTCGGGAGGGGAGGGTCTTCGTGGGGGTGACTTAGGGGCTTCGGATCGGAGGAGCTGCGGCGCAGAGGGAAGAACCTGCTACCCGTACGCAGTGTCTGAGTCCGCGACAGACTTCAGGCCTCGGTAGCGCTGGGAAGGACGGCGCGGCGGGCTCTGTGCAGAGACGACCGCCCTGTGAGGCCACCTGTGCTGCTCACCCTCCCGGAGCCAGGAGGATGGAGGCCTTTCCCCCGCTCCACCCCCGCTTGGTTGGAGCATCGTTTGGTGTGAGGCCTGCCGTGGTGAACCGTGCACGCGGCGGAGACCCTGCACAGTTGCAGATATTCGGCTGTGGTTGGAACCTGCCTGCACTGGGAGTGTGGGAGTCTGCGCTGGTGGTTTGACCAGAGCATTGAGAGACGGGGTCATCTTTATGTATCGTGGTTGGGCGAGAGGAGAGCCTGTGCACAGGAGAGCGTGGCAGGCATCTGACCAGATGCACGGGAACAAGCAGATAGTGTCTTGTAGTTCTTCACAGCGCATAATTGTGTTGAAATGTATGACTTGTTAATATCAGTCTCCTTCGCTAGAATGTAGGCATCAGGAGGGTGGGTACTGTGCCTGTCTTGTATGGTGCGGGGCTTATGCCTGGCACATTGTAAGGTGCTCAGTAAACATTTGTTGACTAATGGATGAATGAATACCTGTTGTGTGCAGAACTATGTGAAGGTCTTTTGGGAAAAGCACAAGAATTAAAGACTTGCAGCTCTTGCGTTGGGGATGGTGGAGAAGGAGGTGGGAGAGGATAAGACCTTTATTTATTGCTGTTAAAACCAGTATGTATTGACTAATTTTTTTTAAAAGCTAACTATCAGTACTGGGTAGCATTTATTGAATGCGGGATTGCTTCTGATGGGCAGAATGGAAAGCCTGGTGTGGCTTGAGGTAGTCTGACTCTCTGTGTACCTTTGAGATGGCCCTAGAGCTGGGGGTGGAATTAGGGATTGGCTGTGTGCCTGGGATGGGTGTTTGTCCCAGGCCAGGGATTGGGGTCTGTGTTGACAGAGTACTGGCAAGGCCTTTCAGATATGGCCTTGTCAGTACTGAAGCAACAATACTGTTGAACCTAACCTCCTTGCTGTGCTTTGGAGTCTTGATCGTGTGTTCTTCCTGCTGTATTATCTGTGTGGAGGGGTATATTAGTTTGCTAAGGCTGCCATAACAAAATGCCACAGATGGGGAGGCTTAAAGAATGGCTTAAAGAGGTTTCTCACAGTCTGGAGGGTAGAAATCCAAGATCAAGGTATCAGCACATTTAGTTTCATCTGGCTCCTGTCTCTTTGGCTTATAGATGGCCTCCTGTTTGCTGTGTCCTCATGCAGCTTCTTCTGTGGGTGGGAGCGATCATGTGTTTCCTCTTATAAGCATACCAGTCATATTGGATTTGGGACCCATCCTTATGATCTCATGGAACCTTAGTTACCTTTTAAAAGTCCCTGAATCCAAATTCAAATCACATTCTGAGTCACTGAGACTAGGGTTTCAACAGATGAATTTCAGTGGAACACAGTTCAGTTCATAACAAGGGAATTTACCTTTATAGAGATGTGTGTGTGTGGGTGTGTGTGTGTGTGTGATGTATGGAGTGTTTATAAGGATGGGAGGCAAATACAGCTGTAATAGGTTGTATTAAAATTTCCTTTTGTTTTGCTCTATCATGGATGTAGGGCCTCTTGCTGCATCACAAAAATTTGGTGCCAAATTTGAATCCCATAATGTTGGTGTATTACTTTCTGTTCAGCAACCTGTAGCCCTGGTTGTGGGGTAGGCATGCAGCTCTTAGAGCTAACAGAGAAATCCTGTGCACATGTTTTCCACTTCATACTGGGCAGTTCTTTCATTTGGTCTTTCCTAGGTAGGGACTCATAGGGTCTTATATTCATTCACTGTAAAATACGTGCCCACCTTCTTTGGACCAGCACCATTTCAGATGCAGGAGAAACAGCAGTGAAAAGAACAAGGTTCCTGCCCTCATGGAGTTTACTTTTTAGTGGGAGAGGTAGGCAGCAAACAAGTAAACATATACTGTAATGCCAGGGAGTGCTATGAAGAAAAATAAAGCAGAAAAAGGGCTTAAAGGGATTGGGGTGCTATTTTAGATAGGGTCATACAGTTAGCTTCCTGCTGGGTAAGCTCTGGTTCACCATATATGCCTTTTTTCTTTATTCTTAGAGGCAAAATAGGGTATAATGAAAGGCTCAGGGCATTTGACTTGTCTACTCAGCTGTGTGACCATGGAAAGTTATTTAACCTCTCTGAGCCTTAATTTCTTCATCTGTGAACTGAGAGCGATAATGCCCTCTCCTCTGTTGTGAGAATGAATGCCCAGCGTACAGAGAAGCAAGCACTCAGTAGTAGGTAACTAGTATTGCCCTGGGGAATTCTGGGACTTCTGGGACCCGTGTCCCTGCATGGCTTGCTCGTCCAGCAGGGAGTCCTTGCAGCCCAGGATGACTGTGGAATAGACCACACGGCACAGGAGTTTGTATGCATGGATGCATTTTTGAGTTTAAATCACTTTTCTTCATTCAGGTGTCTTACAAAATGAACACATTTTAAAAGTTTTACTACTTAAGAACCAACCAGCAGTAGGTAGTTGGAAAAATTATAAGGATTCTCAAAATCTTAATAAGATTTTCCCTGCAGGCCCATAATCCCTTATCTTCAATTTTGAATTCAGAAAACTCTGAAAACCCAATACTGACTTGACATGCAGCTGTTTATAGTCTTTGACCACTAACTGTGAGTATTTGTACTATTCACTGCAGAAATAATACTGTTTTACTTACGGAGTGCTGCTCCGCGTATATGATTTATATACCACATTACTTTGCTGAAGTCTGTAAACTTCCGAGACTGAAATACATCTGGCTGCAAAGGTTTCAGATTAGGGATTCTGGACCTGTATCATATAATAATAATGACACACATGTTGCCCACCAAGGAGAAATCTGTTTCCTTAGAGGAATGTCACGGCATGTCTTACAATCCCAATGCAGTGTACTTGGAAAGGTCCTTAGAGATCATTGCCAACCTCTTTCACTGTACGTATGAAATAACAGTGATGCACTCTGCTTGCAGGCACAAAATCCGCAGCTAACTTTGATTCCAGAAACTCATTGCCAGTTTCCCCAGTGAGGCTGTGGGGAGAAGGGACAAGAACTAGTACTACTACATTCTTCCCCTCCCACTTTGTTCCTATTTTTCCTGATTATGTCTTACTTTAGCTTCCCGAGATAATTAACTTTTATCAGAAAGAACTCCTACGCTGTCTCCCTGAAGCAACACATACAAGCTGGGGCATTGGAAGGGGAAGTTGAGGAGTATCCCAGGATGAGCCGCGGATGCTGACGGCTCCTCCCACATGGAAACTGAGGTGTCCTGAGGCCTCTGTCCAAGTGTAGGTGTCGTATAACAACTTCTTACAAAGGAGCCTATGGCATCTTATCTGTCATAGGCTCAGAGAGAAGTGTCAGGGTGAGAAAGGTGGGGACTGGTAGATTCAAATCGACCAGTTGAGGTTGTTGAGGTTCCCATACTTTTTCATGCTTGGCTTATTTTATCCCTAGGGTGCAAATAGCTATGGGCAACTTGGCCTTGGCCACAAGGAAGATGTGCTTTCTGCCCAGCGACTGGATGAATTCTGTAAACCCGGTTGTATCAAGAGGATCACAGGAGGAGGGGGCCACTCTGCTGTTGTCACTGGTAACTTCCTTCAAGAACATAGAGCCTCTCACTTTCTTATTTGGACCTTTCCCCCTAGGGTGTTATATTACCATCTTTCAGCCTTTTGTATTTTGCAGAGGACAGCATTTTTGTGATGGGATCAGGTTACCATCAGAGAATCCTAGGTTGTCAGAGCCAAAAGGATTTCAGAGATCAAGACCACCCCTCTCTTCTCCTCCCTCCCCTCCCTACATGAGGCTCAGAGAGGAAAACTGCTTCAAGTTGTAAGACGAATAGTGGCCAAGTTGCAATATATATTATACTTTATGCTGTATATTGGTATTTAACTTTCACCTGTGAGTTAGAAGTCTTTGCAGTTAAGTTGAATATTCCCTGAGAGCAAGAACTTTGTATTTTCCTTAATCTTCCCTCACAGTAGCTGGGGTAGTACTTAGTAAGGACTACAAGCGCTATAATACTGCAAAAGAGGGCATGTTCCATCCTGATTAAGAACTTGAGCTCTGGAATCAAACCTCCTGGGCTTAAATCCTTGTTCTTTTAATTATTGGCTATGTGGCCTTGGGCAAATTACTTAATTTCTCTGTGCCACAGTTGCTTCTCTGTTACATGAGGATAATGATGGTGGATGAGGAGAATCCATAAGTTAACAGGACTGCATTATGACTTTCATGGGTACTTGACACTGTGGCCTCCCTCTATAAAGAAATATTTAAAATTATACTTACAGTGGCACGGATATAAAGATGGATATAATCCAGGCTAGATTTAGTATTATAATTTTTATTACATATATTTTTTATTAAAAAAATTTAAATTAAAGCATTTTTGTGGGCCTCTGCAAGTATTGTGCACCCTGGCACTATGCATAAAGGATAAGTTGGCCCCACACATGAGGCTCTTAGAAGAGTACTTGGCACATTTTACATTCCAAATAGATATTGGCTTTTACTGTTACAGTAGATGCTCAATTTGGTGATTGATTGGCCACTGCTGTAGAACTTGGCGTTTCCATTTAGATATTAGGTTGTAACCCCTTGGCCCTGTGCCATTAGGTCCAGAGCACATTAACATGTGTGGCTTATTAACTTGGGTGGGAAAAAAGTTAGTGGGTCCACGACTCCAAATGATTTAGGAAATCCTTTTGCTCACTTTGGCAGTTGTAATTTCCCCTACATATACTACGACCAAAACCTTTGTATTTTGCAGGTGAAGGAAGTCTTTTTGTGTGTGGTCTGAACAAAGATGGGCAGCTGGGGCTGGGTCACACAGAGGAGGTCCTGTGTTTTACCCCGTGCCGATCGCTCCTTGGCTGTGCCATCCAGCAGGTGGCCTGTGGCTGGGACTTTACTATTATACTTACAGGTGAGTGCACTTCTAGGTAAATCTGTATCACCACCAAGGCTTTTGGTGAGAAGAACATGATGCTGAGGGCCCTGATGAAACCCACTTTGTATTTAAAAACACACACAAGGGACTTCTCTAGTAGTCCAATATCTAAGACTCCACGCTCCCAGTGCAGGGGCTCTGGGTTTAGTCCCTGATCAGGGGACTAGATCCCATGTGCTGCAAGTAAGAGTTCACATGCCACAACTAAAGATTCCACGTGCTACAGCTAAGACCCGGTGCAGCCAAATAAATATTGACACACACACACACAAATGTTCTTTCTAATTGTCAAGACAGGTTGTGGTGTGCATTTTGCAAGGAGAGTTTTAACAGTAAAGAAGATTGGGCTGGAAAATCTGGAGGGTAATTATTAGAATCTAAATAGTTGCTAGTGATAAAGGACCCACCTGCCAATGTGGAGACCCAAGAGACCTGAGTTTGATCCCTGGGTCGGGAAGATCCCCTGGAGGAAGAAATGGCCACCTACTCCAGTATTCTTGCCTGGAGAATTGCATGGGCAGAGGAGCCTTGCAGGCTACAGTCCATGGGGCCACAAAGAATCAGACACGACTGAGCAACTGAGCACACACAAACGATAGTTATCGTTTATGAAATACTTAGAGTGTGGGCCTGGTCAAAGCTGTAGGGAGTCAGTAGATAACAGTGTTTCTTGCTCACATTTGGGACCACTTGTGAGACAGACACAGAACGGTCAGACAGGTGGGGAGCGAACGATCAGCTTTTTACTGATACAGGCTAAGTTGGAGGATGGGGTTGACTGTCACACCAAGAGGTTATGCTGACACTCCTCTAATCCAAACCTGCCCCCTAAATTTTAACAGGGGAGACCCTTACTGTGTGTCAGCCCAGGGTGTCTGAGAGGAAGGTGCCAAGCCATACATGTCCTGTTTCTTCTCCCAAATTCACCAAGTGGCTAGGCTATCCCTCTTTCCCCAGAAAGCAGTGCAAATGGAGAAAGGCAGGGAAAAGGCCCGAAGTATATTAAAGGAGGGGCTTCCCTGGAAACTCAGCTGGTAAAGAATCCGCCTGCAGTGCAGGAGACCCCAGTTTGATTCTTGGGTCCGGAAGATCCTGGAGAAGCAATAGGCCACCCATTGCAGTATTCTTGGGCTTCCCTGGTGGCTCAGATGTAAAGAATCCACCTGCAATGCAGGAGACTTGGGTTCGATCCCTGGGTTGGGAAGGTCCCCTGGAGGAGGGCATGGCAACCCACTCCAGTATTCTTGCCTGGAGAATCCTCACGGACAGAGGAGCCTGGTGGGCCACATTCCACAGGGTTGCAAAGAGTCAGACACAACTGAGCGACTAAGCACAGCACATATTAAAGTAATGGAAATTCTGTTCCATGGAAATGTGAAAAGTGGGAGATGAGTATCCTGCATCTCAACACGAGGCACACGGCTAAGCATTCTCCATGGTTAACCTGTTATTAATCAAGTGTGAAGTGGGCAGTCTGTGTGAAATGCTCAGCCCAGTGCCCAGTCTTTTTATTCCTAGGGAAACAGAGCAGAGACTATGGATTGAATGGGCTGAAGCACTGGTGCCTCTCATTCCTTTTGCTGTTCTCATCCTACAGAATTTACCCATTGGACATGGATATCTTACTTCTTAGATTTGCAATTCAAGTATTTGTATTTTGCAGAAAATGGTCAAGTCCTATCATGTGGATCCAACTCCTTTGGCCAACTGGGAGTTCCTCATGGGCCTCGAAGATGTGTGATCCCCCAGGCCATCGAGGTAAGGACAGCACTTGATATTGAGCTTGCTTCTGTCCTGTTAAAGGGTCTCCAGGTATCACAGTTATCCCTCCCCAGACTGAAAGGCTGGCTGGGTCCCTGAAAACTCATGGGGTAGTTAGAATGTATGTTGAAAAATTTAGATTCTCCTGAGGAAATTAGGTGGGAGAGATGGATGCTATGAGTGAAAGCCTCTGCTAGCTCTCATACATGTTATAATTTTTTGTGAAGTAAAAGGGTGAAACTAATATATCTTATAATGACATTAATGACATCTTAAAATTCTAAAAATTATAATAGTGGAAACTGTGTTAGAAACAGGTCCAATTGAAAGTGACTTCCCTAAGGACACTAAGTGAGGCAGATGGTATAGGTCAGTGCCGTCCAGTGGAAATGTAATGTGAGCCACATATGTAGCTTAAAATTTTCTAGGAGCACCATTTTAAAAAATGTGTTTCAGGACTTCCCTGGTGGTCCAGTGGTTAAAACTCCATGCTTCCAATGCAATGGGGTGGAGGGAGGGGCAGGTTCGATCCCTGGTTGGGGAATTAAGCTCTCACATGCTACGTGGTGCGGCCAAAAAGTAAAAATAAAAATGTAAATAAATAATGTATGTTTCAGTGGTTTTTAGTATATTCACAGAGCTGTGCAGCCATCACCATCATCTACTTTCAGACTATTTTTATGATCACAAAAGAAACTGCATGCCCAATAGCAGTCAGCTCCCACTTTGGCCTCTCAACAGCCCCTTGTTGTTGCTGCTCTTGCGGTTCACTCGCTCAGTCCTGTCTGGCTCTTGGCGACCCCATGAGCTGCAGCGCGCCAGGCTTCTCTCCCTCTTTCACTGTCTCCCTGAGTTTGCTCAAACTCATGTCCTTTGAGACAGTGATGCCATTCAACCATCTCATCCTCTGTGGCCCCCTTTTCCTCTTGCCCTCAACTTTTTCCAGCATCAGAATCTTTTCCAATGAGTTGGCTCTTCAAATCAGGTGGCCAGAGTCTTGGAGCTTCAGCGTCAGTGCTTCCAGCAAATATTCAGGGTTGATTTCCTTTAGGATTGACTGGTTTGATCTCCTTGCTGCCCAAGGGACTCTCAGGAGTCTTTGCCAGCACCACAGTTTGAAAGCATCAATTCTTATGGGTATTTCATATAAATGGAATCATATAATATGTAACCTTTTGTGTCTGGATTCTTTCATCGCATATGATTTTTTTTAAGTTTCATCCATGTCCTGGTATGACATGGTAAAATTAATTTTAATAACTTTTAAACTAGTCTCATGTATCCAAACTATGATTATTTCATTTTATGTATCATCAATATAAAACTTTACTAATGAGATATTTTATATTCTTTAACTTATATGAAGACTTTTTTTGTGGTATAGATTTTCTTTAGAGTATATCTCAGTTCAGTATAGTCACCTTTTAAGTGATCAACAGCCATATGTAGTTAGAGGCTACATACTGGATGGCACAAGTATTAGATAGGACTCCCGGTTTTAGTTCAGAGCTCTTTTCACTGCATTGTACTTAAAATGTACACATTTTTCTGAAGATATGGAAGCAAATTTTTAGAGAAATTATACTGGAATCTAAAATGAGTTTCACCTAAGCTGCTCCATTCATACCTAATTTTCCTAAACTGTGACTAAGAATGGGATCTGTTTTCACTGGATAGCGCTTGGGTCTGTGCCTATCACCTGAATTCTAATTGGCTGGTGTTGGGGGAATATTATTTGGGGTCATGGTTTCCATGGTGTTTTAGTCCCTTTGGGCTATTCTAACAAAAATATCATACAGTGGGTGGCTTAAACAGCAAACATTTATTTGTCACAGCTCTGGAGGCTGAGAAGTCCAAAATCAAGGCACCAGCAGATTTGGTATTCGGTGAGGGCTCACCTTCTGGTCCATAGACAGCCGTGTTTTTGCTGTGTCCTTAAGCATGAGAAGGGGAGAAGCACCTTTTATAAGGGGATTAATCTCATTCATAAGGGCTCTGCTCTCATGACCTAATGACCTTCCAAAGGCCTCACCTCCAAATACTATCATGCTGGGGACTAGGTCTCAACATATGACTTTTCAACAAACACATACACTCAGTCTGTATAGCATATGGTATACGTGGAATTCTAGACTGTGTAGTCCCTGTTGTAAGTGTTATAGCTTCTATTAATAGTTGCAAATAGATGAGTTTTTAAGAACCTATGTATAAGTTATAATTAATTTAGCTTGAGTCACATGATGAAAGAAGACAGAGGAACAAAGGTTAAAATATGTTGGATGACAAAATAAGAAGGTAAAAACATTTTGATATGCGTACCTTATAGAACAATGGAGAAATGTGCTAAAGTGAAGTGTAAGAGATATTCATTCATTTATTTAATAGCAACTATTGTGTGAAGGCAGAGTCGGACACAACTGAGCGACTGAACTGAACTGAACTGATTGTGTGAAGGTGCTGTATTCAGGCAGGGGAGACCAAGCTGAGTGAGACCAAATCCTAACATTCGAGGACCTTGTAGTTTAGTAGTACATGTTGTTATAGAAACACCTAGATGCATTACCGTGTTAGAACTATGATAGATGCTTGTGGAGCCCCCAAAGGGAGTGTTGAACTCTTTCTAGGGGAAGGTAGGGTAAGAACAGACCTATGCTGAATCTTGAAATTTGAGTAGAAATTGACCTGGCTTGGGGTAGGAGGATGTGCAGAGTAGGTACAAAAGAAGCACATTGCAAATAGAAGGATAAAACAGGCATAAAACAGGAGGTTTAGAGATGCTGCAAACAACTTAGTATGATTGTAATATAAGGAAGTGGTAGAAGTGCCAGTGGAGAGTGGGCTGGTAGTATCTGACAAATGGTAAGAACAGTGAGTTAGAGAGGGGCCATATGGGGAAGTGTGGGGGCGTGTGGTGAAGGAAGATTCCTCAGGAAACTCTTGCTAATAATCTACATGAGAGATGATCCTGCCCCAAACTAAAGCAGCAGCAGTGGGGTGGAGAGGAAGGATTGGAGATAAGTTGTTATGAAGAGATTGAATCCACATGTAAAGCCCTTTATTTACCTTTGAAAAGGAAAAAAAAAAAATTTAAGGGTAGTGTTTTGAAATTGTGTGAACAGCAAGATTTGATCTTCCCCGAAGCTAATGTGATTGTGGGCTGGAACACAGCCTATAGACTATACTTAATAGAAGTATAGTCTACAGAAGAAGGGAGGCCAGAGCTCTGTCCTTCTTTGTGCTGGTCACACTACATCAATGATGTTGTGTCCTGGTGTGGGTATAGTTCTTCAGCTCTGGGCACTGAGGTGAATAAGACTCAGACCCTGCCTTTGAGGATTCTAAAGTTTAGAAAGACACTGTTATTGTTTAGTCACCAAGTCATGTCTGACTCTTTGTGACTCTATGGACTGCAGCATGCCAGGCCTTCTTTAGAAAGACACTGTGGACCTAAATAAGCAAATATGGGAAAGCCCCACAGGGGCTGTGATTGTGCATATACAGTCCCTTAAAAGAGAGAGACTGAGTAACCAGAGTGTAGAGGAGAAAAAACAAGAAAGGGAGGGAATTTGAAACTCCATGACGGCTGATGGAATTGGGGATGTTTGGCCTAAAGAAGAGATATGTATCTATTATGTATAGCTGTGTAATAAACGTCCCCTGAAATTTAGCAGCTTACAGCAGCAAGCATTTATTATCTCACAGTTTGGAGGGTCAGGAATCTGGTGAACAGCTTAGCTGGTCTCATGAGGCTGAAGTCGAGTTGTCAGTCAGGCTGCTGGAGGTCTGCTGGAGGCTTGACTGGGCTGGTGGTTCCTTCTCCCGCTTTCTCATGGGCAGGGGACTAGTTCTTTGCCATATGGGCCTTTCTGTAGGACTGTTCAGATGTGATATGGCTTCCCCCAAAAGTGATGAAACAGTAGCTGACTTTATTTTTCTGGGCTCCAAAATCACTGCAGATGGTGACTGCAGCCATGAAATTAAAAGATGCTTACTCCTTGGAAGGAAAGTTATGACCAACCTAGATAGCATATTAAAAAGCAGAGACATCATTTTGTCAACAAAGGTCCGTCTAGTCAAGGCTATGGTTTTTCCAGTGGTCATGTATGGATGTGAGATTTGGACTATAAAGAAGGCTGAGCGCTGAAGAATTGATGCTTTTGAACTGTGGTGTTGGAGAAGACTCTTGAGAGTCCCTTGGACTGCAAGGAGATCCAACCAATCCATCCTAAAGGAAATCAGTCCTGGGTGTTCATTGGAAGGACTGATGCTGAAGCTGAAACTCCAGTACTCTGGCCACCTGATGCAAAGAGCTGACTCATTTGAAAAGACCCTGAGGCTGGGAAAGATTGAGGGCAAGAGGAGAAGGGGACGACAGAAGATGAGATGGTTGGATGGCATCACTGACTCAATGGACATGGGTTTGGGTGGACTCCGGGTGTTGGTGATGGACAGGGAAGCCTGGCGTGCTGCAGTTCATGGTGTCGCAGAGTTGGACACAACTGAGTGACTGAACTGAACTGAAAAATGATGAGAGAGAAAGAGAACTTCACTGCCTTTGGTCAAGCAAGAGGCTTCAATGCCTTTTATTGTCTAGTCTCTGAGTCACTCAACACTTCCTTATCCCATTCACTAGAAGCAAGTCACTAAGACCAGCCTACAGTGAAAGTGAGGGAAATTAAGCTGCATATCTTGAAGGGAGGAGTCTTAAAGAATTTGAAGACCTGTTTTTAAATTTTATTTTTATTTTTTTGGAGTATAATGGCTTTGCAATGTTTTGTTAGTTTTCCGCTGTACAACAAAATGAATCAGCTCTATGTATACATATATCCCCTCCGTCTTGAGCCTCCCACACCCACCCCCGGAGGACCTATTTTTAAAGCCACTGCAAGATGTCTTAGAGAGGACATGACAGCTGACTTCAAATGTTTGGAAAGCCTTGTCAGAAGCAATAGCCAGTTAGCTTTGGTTCCACCTAGGGAGACAGATGGAAACGTGCAAATGTGGGCAGGCACCTGGGGATGTGGTGAGCCCGTGTTACTGGAAGAAGGTATTTGGGCAGGGGTTAGATGACCCTTGGTGGGGTGTTGTCGAAGGGTTTCTAGCATTGAGTGTGGATTGGACTAGATCAGAGATCAGCAAACTAGACCCCTTGGTAAATAAAGATTTATTGGAACACGACCACACCTATTCATATACTTACGAATGTTTTTATGTTACAATGGCAGAGTACAGTGGTGTGACAGAGTCTAAAATATTCACTATCTGGCCCTTTATGGAAAACTTTTGCTAACTCTTGGACCAGATGACCTTGCAGGTGCCTCCTAGCCCTGAGTGGCATTGTGATATGGTATTTGAAAAATATTTTGCCTTTTAGGGATACATATAGAGGCATTTGTGAATGGAAATGTTGGGGATTTGGAGTGTCACACTAATCAGACGCATAATGAGGACCATGCAGCATTGTATTTGGGCATAAATTACATAACACTTTGTAGATGGATAGTTCTGAGATCACCATCCTTTTCTTTGTTTTGACAGCTCCTGAGAGAGAAGGTTGTTAGTATTGCTGCTGGACTGAGGCATGCTTTAGCTTCAACAGGTGATCATTTTGCTATTATTTTCTTAATGGGCATGTAATAAGGAGACATGGAGCTTTGAAAGAAATAAACTTTAAGAAGTAATTCAGAATGTCTGCTGTGCTCCAGTCTGATTAAAAGGAGGGGATGTAAGGCAGAAGTCATGTGGGAAAGCCTTCAGCAGCTAGGGAGGAAGGAAATGAGGTGGTCTAGCTTTTCATTGTGTTCTAGGCTTGGTGCTAGGTTCTCTTGGTTTAATTGTTTGGTGTTGTTCAGTCGCTAAGTTGCATCTGACTTTTTTGAGACCCCATGGACTGAAACCCTGCTAGGCTCCTCTGTCCATGGGATTGCCCAGGCAAGAATTCTGGAGTGGGAGCCATTTCCTTCTCCAGGGGATCTTCCCGACCCAGGGATAGAACCCATATCTCTTGCATCTCCTGCATTGGCAGGCAGATTCTTTACTGCTAAGCCACCAGGGAAGCTCCCTTGGTTTAATTAGTAGCTCATTAATCTTCATAGCTGTGCAGTAATGTGAGTTAAGTTGTTTTTAAATTGAGTTATAGTTGATTTATAATATTATATAAGTGTTAGGTATACAACATAGTGATTCCCAGTTTTCAAAGATTATATTCCATTTATGATCATTAGAAAATATTGACCATGTTCCTTGTACAATATATCCTTATTGCTTATTTATTTTATACATAATTGTTGTATGTCTTACATATGAAGAAACTGAGGTCCAGAGAGTTAAAGAGCTTGTCTGAGGTTATACAGGGAGTTGGGAAATAAAAGGTGAGCTGGGATCAGAGTCTAGGCTGGATTCCAAGACCCGCATTCTTTGCCATGAACTGCATTGCTTTTCTAGTGGATTTTAATGTTTATTAATTTAAAAGCTTCAAGTGAGCTTGTCTTCTGTGCTGTGAGAGGGTGATGGGTGTAGGGCTGACAGAGTGTGAGGTTAGAGGTGGAAAGTGGAGGAGGCATGACCCTTTTTTCTCTCTCTTGCTCATTTTTCTGCTTTCTGGTCCCACTCCTCTGGGCTGAAGGACAGTCTGAACCGGCTCTGGCAGCCGAGGCCCAAGCATTGGTGAGTCCAATCTTGGAACCGGGAGAGGAGTAGAGGTGATTAAAAGTCTAGTGCTACATGGTTGTGACCTGGGACTTAGGGTCAATTATAGTTTTTTGAAAAATTAAGGTTTTTATTTTGATAGACTTACAGGTTCACGTGCCATTGTAAGAAGTGAAATAGATCACACGCACTCTTTGCCCAGTTTCTCCCAGTGATAACATCTTGTGAAGCTATAGTGTAATAGCTCAACCGGGGTGTCTTGAAACAGTCAAGATACAGAACACTACCTTCACAAGGATCCCCTTTATTGCTCTTTTATAGCTGCACCCGCTTTCTACTTACCCTCACCCCCTTCTTAGCTCTTCTGTTCTCCCATAATAATGTCATTGTAAGAATGTTATAAAATGGTATCATACAGTATATAGCCATTTGGGGTTGGCTTTTTTGCTCAGCTTATGATTCCATGGAGATTCATCCAAGCTGGGAGTATCAATAATTTGTTCCTTGTTATTGCTAAGTAGTATTCCATGAAAAAGTGAAAGTGAAGTCGCTCAGTCGTGTCTGACTCTTTGCGACCCCATGGACTGTACTGTACCTGCCAGGCTCCTCCATCCATGGGATTTTCCAGGCAAGATTATTGGAGTGGGTTGCCATTTCCTTCTCCAGGGGATCTTCCCAACCCAGAGATCAAACCCGGGTCTCCTGCATTGCAGGCAGACTCTACCATCTGAGCCACAAGGGGGCTTCAGTATTCCGTAGTATAGCTAGCTGTATTAGTTATACTCTCTTAGTTAAACTCTATTAGCTTGCTAGGGTGGTCATAACAAAATATCACAGAGTGGGTGGCTTAAGCAACAGGAATTTATTAATATTTTCTCACAGTTAAGGATGCTGGAAGTTCAGGATCAAGATGAGGATTGGTTTCTAGTGACATTTCTCCTCCTGGCTTGAGGATGCTACCTTCTTGTTCTCTCCTCATGTGGTTTTTCCTCTATACTTGCGTGTGGAGAGAGACAGAGATCTCTGGTGAATCTTTCTCTTTTTAAAAGGATACCAGTTCTTTCAGAAGCCTCACTCTTATGACCCATTTAACTTTCATCACGTCCTGTAGGCCCTATCTCCAAATACAGTTACATGGGCGTTTAGGACTTCAATATATGATTTTACGGGGGATACAATTCAGTCTATAACAACCACAGTTTGTTTAATCAGTCACCCACTGAAGCACATTTGGCTGTTTCTGGTTTTTAGCTATTAAGAACAAAGCTATAAACAGTTGTGGACAAGTTTTTATGTGAACATAAATTTTCATTTCTCTGGGATAAATGCCCAGGAGTATGATGACTGAGTTGTATGGTAGTGATTATACTTTTATAAGCAGGTTCCCTTAGAAATTAGCAGGGCCAGCCAGAGAATTGCCTGTCATTGGTTTCCTTGCCCCTTGCCTACCAAGATTCTGTGACCACTAGTCTCATGAGTACATTTTTGTCAAGTTACAAAGAAACACAGTTATGTGTTTAAGTCCTCTTCTTCCCCCACTTTTTTCAGTAAATATTTCTACCTGCATCTCAAAAAGATAAGGACTTTTTCTGAAAACATTACCAAAAAAAAAAAAAAATACCACCATCATATCTGCAAAAAATTATCAATAATTCTGTAATTTCATTAAGCATCCAGTCAGTGTTTAAATTTCCCTGATTGTTTCAAAAGTACTTTTTATGGTTTTGTTTGAATCAGGATCCAAATTAGATCAATCATTGCAGTTAGTTAATATATATCTCATGTCTCTCTCTCTTTTTCTTTTAAAATTTATTTATTCCTTTTTGAAAATTTGGTTGTGCCAGGTCTCAGCTGTGGCATGCAGGATCTTCAGTGAGGATCTGTAGTTGTAGCATGTGGGATCTAGTTCCCTGACCGGGGATCAAACCTGGGCCCCCTGCATTGGGAGCGTGGTGTCTTAGCCATTGAACTAATAGGGAAGTCCCTATTCCTTTTAGTTTTTTATTGTGATAAAATACACATAACATAGTTTTATCATCTTAATCATTTTTAAGTGTACAATTGAGTGGGATTAAGTACATTCACATTATTGTGCATTATTACCACAGTCCATTCCAGAACTTTTTTTCATCTTGTAAAACTGAAACCCTATATCCATTAAACTATAAATCCTCATTTCCCCGCCTCCCAGTCCCTGGCACCACCATTCTTTCTATTTCCGTGATTTTGACCACTCACACAGGTACCTCATGTAAGTGGAATCATACAGTCTCTTTTGTCTTTTTGTGGCTTATTTCACTCAATATAATATCCTCAGTTCTGTCCATGTTATAGCAACTGTCAGGATTTCCTTCTTTTTTAAGACCTAATGGTATTCTCCTATATGTATATACCACATTTTGCTTATCCATTCATCTATTGATGGACAGTTGGGTTGTGTCCGTATTTTGGCTATTGTGAATAATACGGCCATGAACATGGGTGTACAGATACCACTTTGAGATCTTGCTTTCAATTCTTTTGGATATTTACCCAGAAGTATTATTGCTGGATCATACAGGAATTCTATTTTTAGTTTTGGGGGGAATTGCCATACTGTTTTCCACAGCGGCTGTACCAATTTACATGACCACCAGTAGTGCAGAAGGTTTCCAAATTTCTTCACATCCTTGTCAACCCTTGTTGTAGTAGCAATTTCAGTGCCATCTCAATGAGTGTAAAGTGACAATTTCAAGGTAGTTTTGATTTCATTTCCCTAATGATTAGTGATGTTGATCATCTTTTCATGTGCTTATGGCCATTTGTATATTTTCTTTGGAGAAAAGTCTATTCAAGTCCTTTGCTCATTTTTGAATCAGGTTTTATTTTTGTTGTTGTTGAGTTTTAGGAGTTCACTGTATATTTTAAATATTAGTCCTTTATTGGACATCTCCAGTTTCTTTATGTACCTTTTCCTCTCTGTTTTTTCTCACAATTTGTTGGAGAGTTGATAAGTTTTGTTTTATTTCAACACTGTGTTTTGTTCACTTTGTGCTCAATCATCACAACTTAGATTTCATACAGCGAGCTTACTGTTTTCAGCCTAGAGGACCATTGGGTATCGGACACTTCTGGAGGAGCAGTATCTTAATGTTGCTGTTGGGTGATGGAGCCTAATTACACATATCTGACTGTAGGCCAAATATATGATATTTCATCTACACATTTGTATGAGTTTCAGAACTTTGGTATATGAATTAGATCCAGTAAATATGGAAAAAAAAAGACCATTCCACATGTGGAAATGGTGGCTGTTCAGAAGCTTATCTTGCAGTCATGAATATGTGCTTACTTGGCAGTTAGGAATCTCAGACTTCGTCTCGGTGTCATAGGAAAGGGGCAGGAGAGTTGAGTCCTGGTGTTCCTCTGCTCCCTGCTCCCTGTATGGCCTTGGGCAAATCACACGCCCTCTTCAGGCTTCAGTTTCTCATCCAGTAAATGGGAGGCATGGACGTGGCAGGTTTCAAGGTTGCTTCCTGCTTGGTCTGGAGTCTGGGTTGTCTTTTCAAGTTAATCATGAAAAAGATATCATTCCAGTCATTTGACTCTGGAGGAGTCAAATTTGACTCCACGGGAGTCAAAGGAGAATTTTCTGGAGGGAGTTTTACTATGTTGGGATTTCCACCAATAGTCTTAGGTTGCCCTGAAGATTGGATTTGTGGTTGGCTTGGTGGTAATCCCTAGGACCAGCCATAGGGTGGCTTGAGGCAGTAAGCTTTTTCATAAGCTTTTTCATTCATGCTAACTAAGCATGAATGGGGAATCTCTTATGGCCTGAGGTTGAAAGTGCCATCTAGTCTTAACCCAGGTAAACATCTTCTCTTTTTTCTCTCCTACTCCACTGGGAAGCTAGTGGCACTGTGTTTCAGTGGGGAACTGGTTTGGCATCATCTGGACGGCGACTGTGTCCTGGGCAGACTCTCCCACTGTTTCTGACAGCAAAGGAACCCAGCACAGTGACAGGTAAGGCCCTTATTTCTTCTGAGTCCTATATTCATTCTTTGTCTGGAAATGGAGATACTGGCATGCAGAAAATGGGTAAATGGCATTTTTCTTTTGCTGTTTCTTGGTCTCTCTATCTTAACTCTCTGTTGGTAGGTCTCTTAATTTTTTGGGATTTTTGTGGGCCCAGTAAAAGTACCCCTCTTTGGTGCCAGAGTTCAGAACCCATTGAGAGACAGATGCAAGTCAGGTAGGTAGAAATCAAAATGGTAGCTCTAAAAATGTTAAAAGTTAGATTGGAAGACATGAGTTAGGTATTTGGAAATAACGGGTAGCAGTAGTGAGCCTCCAGGTTCTGAATCCCAGCTTGGATTTACCCACCAGGCGCTGGAGCAGCTGCAGGCAGTCCTGCTAAATTCATGGTGCCACTGAGCGCCTGCAGGAGGCACCCTCTGCAGGCAGGCACATCCCAGAGAGAGAAGCCGAGAAGACCCCGCTTGCCTGCCCAGCCACTCCCCAGGGGAAAGCAGGAGCGAGTGAGGACGTAGAGAGAGGGGCCGGAAGTGTTCCCTTAGGGAGGTCTCTCCATGAGCACGTGAAGAGTAGGTAGGAAGGGTGCTGCCTACCGGTCTGCTGGTCAGTCTTTTGTTGGGAAGTTAGTCTCTACGACTTCCTGCCTCTCTCCCTCTCCACTCTCCTGGTGGGCCTTTCTCTCTCCATATGTAGCACCACGTCTCCACCTCCTCCTCCTCTTCCTCTCTGACTTTGTGATCCAGTTTACTGAGGGTTGGCCCTAGGAAAAAGCTGTCAGCAAACCTCTCCTCTAGCTCAGAGCAAAGGAGGGATTTTTGAGGGTGGTAAGAAGCAGGGAAAGAAGATTGAGGAGTGAGCCTCAGTGGGAGTATGCTACAAGTTGTTGGGATGTTCCGATTCCCACTCTCTCTCTCTCTCTTTTTAAAAAAAATATTTATTTGTTTATTTGACTGTACCTGGTCTTAGTTCTAGCATGTGGAATCTTTAGTTGTAGCATGTGGGATCTAGTTCCCTGACCAGGGATCAAACCCAGGCCCCCTGCATTGGAGTGTAGAGTCTTAGGCACTGGACCACCAGGGAAGTCCCTGATCTGATTGAGTCCTCAAGGCTTTCCCCTGCTGCGGGGGTAAGGTTAGCCCTCTGAAGCCCATGGGTTGAGTTGGGGAGAGTTCTCTCAGAGAAGGGGAAGGGGCCACTGGACACACGCCAGAGTCTGCTTCACATTGAAAGCATCTGTAATGTACACTCATACTTGCCAAACATTTTTCCTGCCTCACCACTGTATTCACTGCTCCCTGGGCATGCACTGTGTTCTCATCCCTATGTGCTTGTGGGCAGACTATTACCTCTGCACAGAATGCCTTTTCCTTCCTGTTCTCCTTGGGAAAATCCAGATAATTTTTCAGGTCCTAGCTCAGCTGCAACTGAAAGGCTCTTCCCACTTCTCGCCTCCGTTGGCATTTTCTTTCTCTGCAGGGACAGCACAGCGTGTTGTATTGTTATGAGTTGTTTACATGTTTTCCCAAATGCCAAAGATGATGAGCATTTTAAGGGTAGGGACTGTGTCTACTTTCTGTTTTTGTACAGATTTCGTATCTGAAAGGAATCAGTAATATTTTTATTTGATTTGACTTAACCTGGTTGGGGATCTTCTCAGGGCACAGCTTAGATTCAGAGGTGATTTGCGGGGGGGTTTCTGATGAGACATTAGCAGAGATATCAGCTTTCTGACCTCAAAGTCATTCACTTTACCTTCCCCCCTTCTTTACATCATCACCATCAGTTCTGGAGCTGGAACCCTGGGCGTCCTCTCCCAACCTGGCCACTAGGGGACAGGTGCCTCCCCTCTGATGAAAGTGGCAAAAACATCTGCTTTGTCCCTTTGTCATTCTATAGGATACTTGAAGGCATGAGGGATATTTTATTAAGACACTGGAGAAGCTCTATAAAGTCAGCAAAAACAAGACCGGGAGCTGACTGTGGCTCAGATCATGAACTCCTTACTGCAAAATTCAGACTTAAATTGAAGAAAGTAGGGAAAACCACTAGACGATTCAGGTATGACCTAAATCAAATCCCTTACAATTTTATAGTGGAAGTGACAAATAGATTCAAGGGATTAGATCTGATAGACAGAGTGCCTGAAGAACCATGGACGGAGGTTCTTGACATTGTATAGGAGGCAGTGATCAAGACCATCCTAAAGAAAAAAAAATGCAAAAAGGCAAAATGGTTGTCAGAGGAGGCCTTACAAATATCTGAGAAAAGAAGAGAAGCTAAAGGCAAAGGAGAAAAGGAAAGCTATACCCATCTGAATGCAGAATTCCAAAGAATAGCAAGGAGAGATAAGAAAGCCTTCCTCAGTGATCCATGCAAAGAAATAGAGGATAACAATAGAATGGGAAAGACAGGTGATCTCTTCAGGAAAATTAGAGATACCAAAGGAACATTTTATGCAAAGATGGGCACAATAAAGGACAGAAATGGTATGGATCTAATAGAAGCAGAAGATATTAAGAAGAGGTGGCAAGAATACACAGAAGAACTATATAAAAAAGATCTTCAGGACCCAGATAACCATGATGGTGTGATCACTCACCTAGAGCCAGGCATCCTGGAATGCGAAATCAAGTGGGCCTTAGGAAGCATCACTATGAACAAAGCTAGTGGAGGTGATGGAATTCCAGTTGAGCTCTTTCAAATCCTAAAAGATGATGCTGTGAAAGTGCTGCACTCAATACGCCAACAAATTTGGAAAACTCAGCAGTGGCCACAGGACTGAGAAAAGTTAGTTTTCATTTCAATCCCTAAGAAAGGCAATGCCAAAAACTGTTCAAGCTACTGCACAATTGTACTCATCTCACATGGTGGCAAAGTAATGCTCAAAATTCTCCAAGCCAGGCTTCAACAGTATATGAACCGTGAACTACCAGATGTTCAAGCTGGATTTAGAAAAGGTAGAGGAACCAGAGATCAAATCGCCAATATCCGTTGGATCATAGAAAAAGCAAGAGAGTTCCAGAAAAACATCTACTTCTGCTTTATTGACTATGCCAAAGCCTTTGACTGTGTGGATCACTACGAACTGTGGAAAATTCAAGAGATGGGAATACCAGACCACCTTAGCTGCCTTCTGAGAAATCTGTATGCAGGTCAAGAAGCAACAGTTAGAACCAGACATGGAACAACAGACTGGTTTCAAATCGGGAAAGGAGTACGTCAACGCTGTTGTCACCCTTCTTATTTAACTTATACGCAGAGCACATCATGAAAAACGCTGGGCTGGAGGAAGCACAGGCTGGAATCAAGATTTCTGGGAGAAATATCAATAACCTCAGATATGCATATGACACCACTCTTATGGCAGAAAGCAAAGAGGAACTAGAGAGACCTCTGTGAAGGTGAAAGAGGAGAGTGAAAAAGCTGGCTTAAAACTCAACATTCAGAAAACTACGATCATGGCATCTAGTCCCATCACTTCATGGCAAATAGATGGGAAACAATGGAAACAGTGAGAGACTTTATTTTTGGGGGCTCCAAAATCACTGTAGATGGTGACTGCAACCATGAAATTAAAAGACCCTTGCTCCTTGGAAGAAAAGCTGTGACCAACCTAGACAGCATATTACAAAGCAGAGACATTACTTTGCTGACAAAGGTCCATCTAGACAGTAGTTGTGTATGGATGTGAGAGTTGGACCATAAAGAAAGCTGAGCACCGAAGGATTGATACTTTTGAACTATAGTGTTGGAGAAGACTCTTGAGAGTCTCTTGAACTCCAAGGAGATCCTAAAGGAAATCCTAAGGAACCAGTCCATCCTAAAGGAAATCAGTCCTGAATATTCATTGGAAGGACTGATACTGAAGCTGAAATTCTAATACTTTGGCCACCTGATGTGAAGAACTGACTCATTTGAAAAGACCCTGATGCTGGGAAAGACAGAAGGCAGGAGGAGAAGGGGACGACAGAGGATGAGATGGTTGGATGGCATCACCAACGCGATGGACATGAGTTTGCGCAAACTCCGGGAGTTGGTGATGGACAGGGAAGCCTGGCATGCTGCAGTCCATGGGGTCACAAATAGTTGGACACTACTGAGTGACTGAACTGAACTGAGTAAATTAAACAGAAATGTCAGAAGAAAGTTACGGAATAAGACTGCATGTCTGCATGCAAGACCAGGTGACCGCAGATTTGAGCAGAGCTGAGTGGGATTATCCCTCATCACTGAAAGCAGTGTATCTGGGGAGAAGAGCCTGGATTTGGGATGGGAGGCAAATTCAAATTCTAGTGCTGTCTGTGTGCTGTTAGAAGGCCTGGACTCGTGTCTCAGTGTCTGCACTTGATAGCAGCTGAGTATGAGAGATGTCACTGCTTCTGGGCCCGCTCCATGGACAGAGCAAGGAAATATACGGGGACACACACTTGTGTTTATGTGTATGTACACCTATGTTTGTTTATCCTTTGTAGAAACCATGAGTTTACCCTGACTTCGGTTACAATTCAGTGTCAAATGGTCGATTCTAGCCTTCCACCTTTTCATATCTGTTCCTTTCTTCTCTTTTCTGATAGTGGGAAATCTGACTCCTTCATCCTCAAAATATTTACTTATTTGTTCAACCTCCTGGGTATCACCAGTCTCTCTACCATGCCACTCATCTTCTTGGCCAGTGCTGCTGACTCAGACCTTCATGCTTTGGCTGAGTTTCTCCCTAGGTGCTGGTGGGTCACTGCTTGTGGCCCTTCTCTACCCAATTTATTCTGTTATAAATGTGATTTCAAAAGAATTTTTTTTTTTTTTTTGTTAGGCCTAGAGAATTCTCAAGCAGTATGTGTTCTTGCTGGCTCTGATCACTCAGCTTCACTGACAGGTAGGTCACGTGCCATTCAGAATTCTGGGTGTTTTTGCCTCAAGTGTTGCTGTTGGGATACAGATGGAAAAACATAGATGATGGAGTCAGGATAATGATGCCACTGCTGATGTGATCTTAGCAAGTCACTTTACCTCCCTGAGACCATTGACTTGTCTATAAAATATTTTGGGGATAGTTTTCAGAATTTCGTATGATAGTACATGTTGAAACACTCATGTGAAATAGAGGCTCACTTCCTTTCCTCTGAGTTTGTTTTCTCAGCTGTACAATAGGGATAAAAATATCTTTCGGAGTAGTTGTGATCATTAAATTGTATAGCCAACAGTAAATTTATGTATAACGTATTGTTATTCATCTAATCTATTTTGATGTCTAATGTAACTATTTTAAACTTCCCCGGTGGCTCAGTCAGTGAACAGTCTTCCAGCAATGCAGGAGGCCCAAGTTTGTCCCCTGGGTCAGGAAGATCTCCTGGAGAAGGGAATGGCTACCCACTCCAGTATTTTTGCCTGGAGAATCTCATGGACAGAGGAGCCTGGCGGGCTACAGTCCACGGGGTTGCAGAGTCAGACATGACTGAGCGACTAAACACATACACACATATAACTGTCTAAGCTTTCTAGCTTCTCTAGCTTTCTCTTCTCTAGCTATTTAATCTCAAACTAGCATATTTTTGCTTTGCTTTGTCACTCAATCATGTCGGACTCTTTGCGATCTAGAATACTGGAATGGGTACCTGTTCCCTTCTCTAGGGGATCTTCCCCCCCCAGGGATCGAACCCAGGTCTCCCGCATTACAGGCAGATTTTTTACCAGCTGAGCCACCAGGGAAGCCCTGTATCTTTCTACTCCTTTTATCTGTTGCCCTGTCTGTTCTCTCTGTTTATCTTCTCTGTTTTATTTAACTACATGTTTCTATTTTTATCTCTGTCTTTCTATTTAACCAAGGTCTCCCTATATCGCTAAGTCTAGTTGTGTGTATATTTTTCTAATTTATTTTATGTTTTTATATATTTCTCTAGTTGACCTCTCTATTCCATCTCTTTAATCTGCCCCCACTCCAGTATTCTGGCCTGGAGAATTCCACGGACTGTATAGTCCATGGGGTCGCAGAGTCAGACACGACTGAGTGACTATCGCTTTCACTCTCTATCTAGTCTTTTTTCTCTCACACACTATGTATATCTCTCTGTCTTGGCTATGTTTCCATCCATCCATCCATTTGACACACTCAGCCAATACCATATAAACTGTCTAGTGACAATGCAGCTTTTTTTTTCTTGGTTGCGTTGGCTCTTTGTAGCTGCAGAGGCTTTTCTGTAGGTGCAGCAGGTGGGAGCTACTCTCTAGGAGTGGTCTGAGGGCCTCTCACTGTGATGGCTTCGCTTGTTGCCGAGCACATGCTCTGGGACGCGTGGGCTTCACCCTAGCAGTTTGCCACATCTAGTAGTTGTGGTGCGTGAGCTCAGTAGTTGCGGCTCCCAGGCTCTAGAGCACAGGCTCAGTAGCTGTGGACTTAGTTGCTCTGTGACTTGTGGGGTCTTCCCGGATCAGGGATTGAACCCACGTCTCCTGGATTGGCAGGTGGATTCTTTACCACTGAACCACCAGGGAAGCCCCCGCATTTTCTTGAAAGTGAAAGTTGTCTCTCTCAAAGTTTATCTTTTTCAAAGCCCAGATTGCCCTGACTCTTGCAGGTAGACTGGAGACTAGAGCTATGAGAGACATATGTTGGTAAGCCCTTTCGCCCAGAGTGAATGCATTGCATTTTTTAAGTAAAGGGAAATGACTTTCATACACTGTATTTTCAGTGTTTTATGTGGAACTTAAAGATGTGTACACTGTATCTGTTAATTAATGGGGGCATGCATTCTTCAACATCAAATTTGAGGAGTTGTTATGGTGTCCAGAACACAAGACCTGTAATGTGAGAGTTTAAATACTTTACAAATTCTGAATTACAGATAATTTGATATTTAATGAATTAAAAGCAACTAGCTAATGAAGGAAATACCTGCTTTTAGGCTCTGGCTCATGTTAGGTAGATTTGTAGATATGCTAAAAAGATTGAGCTGAAATGAATGCCAGCTCTAAGAGACTCTTCTGGGCATGTGGTCCCCCACCTCCCCTTTATAGAGGGGATGAGAGGTGACTAGTTCATCCCGTGTAGTCCTCACTAGCTCTGGGAGAAGGCATTCTTTTCTGAGAATAAGAATAGACTAAGGTTTCAACTCTTAGTCTAACTTGAAATGGCTAGTATTATGTAAACCTGGAGATTCTTCTAATTGCTTGTTAACATCGATTTCTTCAAAAATCTTATATTACTAAAACTATTTATTATTTCATATGCGGGTACTTTTCTTATGGTGTTTTAAAAACATAGATGTTGAATTTTTTATTGAGATGTACTTCATATATGAAATTCACCCCTTTAAAGTGTACAATTTAGTGATTTTTGGAGTATATGCACAAGGTAAATTGGTTTTGGATATTTTGAAAGTGTCTTAAAAGGGTCAAGATTAATATCCCTCTTTCCTGGTCCATTTCAAGCTGTGACACATTGCATTTTCGGTGCTCTCTAGACCTCTCTGGAGTTGTAGCTTATGTAACTATTTGGCATTGCAGCAGAATTAAATTTTGCCTGCTGATGCAACAGCGTAATGATCTGCTTGTGGAAAACAGTTTGTCTTTGCAAAAAGATGGCTTAGACTTACTAAGATAAATGAAGGCTTATAACAGACACAAGCTCATTGTCATTGGCACCTTGGTAGCTCAGCCGTCCCTTTCATGGGTGGAGACTTTGCCGAGGGGCTCCACTTCCCTCTAGTAAGGGATCCTCATACTTAGCACACCTGGTGAGGTCCAGGGAGGTTGCCCTCTCTCTAGGCATGAAATAGACCAACTTTGCTGTGTAGAACTGCAGTATGTCAGTGCTGCAAGGTCACCTGGCTGACACAAAGACTCCACTGGTTTATGGTCCCTCATTTTAGACTTGGGCTTCCCCGGGGGCCCTAGTGGTAAAGAACCCCCCTGCCAATGCAAGAGATGTAAGAGACACAAGTTTGATCCCTGGGTTGGGAAAATGCCTTGGAGAAGGAAATGGCAACCCACCCCAGTATTCTTGCTTGGAAACTTCTGTAGGCAGAGGAGCCTGGTGGGCTACCCTCCATGGGGTTGCAAAGAGTCGGACATGACTGAGGGCCTGAGCACACATTTTAGACTGTGAAACAGAGACCCAGAATGTGAAGTGATGTGCCCAGTGTCAAAGAGTGATCCAGCAGCAGATCTGGGACTTAAACCCCAAGTCTTGACCTCATATCCTTTAATGATACTCTTTGGCTTCTGATTGGTTTTTGAGAATAGATTGAGCTGCTCCAGGGCAAGCAATGCTGCAAACCTTTATGGGGAGGTCACAGGATGTAGTGGAAGTGGAAAATCCGGCTTCTGGTCCTGCTTGATCCCTAATAAGCCTCGCAATCTTGAAAGTCACTTAATGTCTCCGAGCCTTGGTTAATTTATCTTCCAGAAGAGTGCTGTCTAGGAGAAATATAATGTGAGCTGCATTGCAAAAAGTAAAAAGAAACAGGTGAATTAATTTTAATAATTTATTTTGCTTAACCCAGTATAGCCAAAATATTATTGCAACCGTGTGATCAATATGAAAATTATTAAGGAGCCACACTCTTTGTTTTTGCACTAAGTTTTTGCAATGCATTGTGCTTTTTTTTGTCTTCAAAACCTCTCATTGGGACTAGCCACATTTCAAGGGTTCCTTAGCCGCCTATGGGCACCGTGTGCTGTGCAGTGTTACATTTCGGGTTGGGGAAGCACTTAGAGATCATCCAAGGAGTCACAGACTGTAGATTCATAAGGCAGACTGTAGCCCGTGCCCCCTTTTGTTTGACTTCCAGTTAAAGATCTGTTGAATTTGAATGTCTTCTGGACACCCATGTGCCCTCTGGTTTGCCGCAGTCTCCCACCGGTCTCTCCTGTACATCCGTTCTAGTGTCCTTCTCCACCATCAGCTTTCCCCCCAGTCTTCAGCTGGTGAAACTAAGGTTTGGAGAGGAAGTGGTTTGTCCAAGGTCAATAACTAGTTAGCGGATCCAAGAATAGAAGCCAGAGTCACTTGACTCTGAATTTGCTCTCTTTCTATTAAATCACAATGTCAGTCAGTCTCATTCCTGCTTATATCACAGGAGTATTGTGAGGTTCAAATGAGCTTAAGTGCTATGCGAATGTGATACGATAACTATATTTTCCGCTGAACAGGGCATGTGGTGAAATCATCAGATATTTATAAAGTTTAAACTTTAAATAATTTGCCTTTTAACCTGTTATTTTGAAAAGCTAATGTATATTTTTCCTAACAAAAGGTAAGCATTTATTTAAAAAATGTAGAAAACGGAGAACCATATGTCTTACACATGGTGGATGTTGAATAAATATTTGTTGAATGAATTAATGAAAAAATAAACTCACTTTCCTGTTCCTTGACAAACTGTTAAGAACATTTGGCCTTTTTTCCTATTTATAGAATTAAAAAAACATCTTACATATTATGCTATACATGAATTTGGTATCTTGCTTTGCTCTATTCAATATTGTAGGGTAAGAATAATACAACTTCTTTGAGCCACTTTTTTCCCCCAGACTCAGATTATTTTCCATCATTTTGGGCTAATGTTTCTTCACCTCTTTTGTTTCCCTTCTGTTTGTTTAAAGATGCAGGAGAGCTGTATGTTTGGGGAAGCAACAAACATGGGCAACTGGCTTCCCAGACTGCTTTCCTCCTTCTGCCCCAGAGAATAGAAGCACATTATTTCCAGAATGAAAAGATCACTGCTGTCTGGAGTGGGTGGACACACCTGGTTGCTCAGACAGGTGAGAGAGCAGCAGGGAGTTTGTGGTTGGGAAGAGCAGCTCTGGGACAGCTGTCTAAATAGCTATGAATGCGCGGGATTAGGTAGGTTGGGTTTCACTGATGAAAAGCTTGAAGGACTGGGAAGGGGAGGACCTGAGATCTATTAATAGTTCTTCAGTCAGTCAGATATGTCGCTTTACCTCTCTGGATCATAGATTTGTACCCAAAAATGTAAGGCTGGGTTAGGTTAACTCCTTGTGGTTCTAAGGGTCCATGAAGTTTCGAGAGGGAACAGGTACCACCCAGAAATTTGTCCAGGTTGTTGGGAGGATCTTTGCCTTGTCATAGCTAAAGGAGTGACTGTATTTGCATTTCCACCTGAGTCTAAATTCAAGGCACCAGAAACTGTTAAGTTAAATGTTCAAGATTGAGGCAGGAGCATTATTTTGAGTCATAGCTGGCATGGTATTTTGGTTTGGATTTTTGTTAACCCTAACAAACTCTGTACATTGATTCAAATATCTCACATGTTGCCTCAGATGTTACTTTACCAGGCCAGGCCATCCAGCTTTTGGCATCTTTATCTTTCCTTGATTCATCTTCATTGTTTCTCATCTTTCCCTTAGGGCATTTCTTCTTTCCTAGTCTTCATCTTCCTGACTATGTTCTCAGGGTTTGTTTTTTCATGGCTGCCCTTCTTCCCAACCTTCCTAGAGCTCTTGCTTCCTAGAGCTCAGGGTTTCCCAGGCCGGCAGGTTGTAATTCTTAAGATCCATTATCGTGTCAAGGCCTTCTGAACTTCAGGGGTTCTCAGGAGTCCCCTTGCCTGCTCTTGGCCTGCTTGTTAGCGATACGCTAATCTGTAGACCGCCAAATACCTGATGACTTATTCCAGTGCCTTCCGACTGGAAGTTTTCAAGTCCACTTCAGTTATCCTTGGTTAGCCACATATACTATGTGTTTGAACACAGAAACATAGGCTTAGGAGTATTTACATCCATGATGCTTTTAATTGGTTCTTAAATTTTTTTTTTTTAAGATTGCTTTGAAACAGAGGCCTGTATAACTAAGGTGTATAATAAACTTTCAGCATTTACTGCTTCAGAGGATGCTCTAGTGATGTCATTGATTTGGAGGCAAATCGTGGCTTTCCTCACAGTAGTTCAGATTGCTTAAAGATTGGGACCATCTACAGAAATTTATCTTAAAGAGACTCTCTGAGCATAGTAGCTACTTATTTATATAATCGTTAACTGTTTCTCTTCTCCTCCTGACAGTGAGTTCTGTGAGAGGAAGCCCCATATTAGTCTTGCTCACATCTGTATCTCCACTGCCTCCCAAAGAAAGTATTCATTGGCTACATTAAACCTTCTAGTTAAAAGAGACTAAACATACTGAAATGAAGCAGGGTAGACTGCGAGGAGTTCTGACCTCTTTCCTTGGAAAGAGATCCATGATCAGAAGGCTTCAGTTTGTCTCTTTGAATTCGGTTATTGTTTATTGGGAACCTTTTGAGCAGTGGGCTAAGCTTGAAGAAGCAGAGGAGATGAGCCATGCCCTGTTGGGGCTTCCCAGGTGGTGCTAGAGGCAAAGAACCCGCCTGCCGATGCAGGAGACATAAGAGACACAGGTTCAATCCCTGGGTTGGGAAGATCCCCTGGAGAAGGCAACGGCTACTCACTCTAGTACTCTTGCCTGGAGAACCCCATGGACAGAGGTGCCCAGTGGGCTATAGTTAATGGGGTGGGAAAAGAGTTGTTTATGACTGAAGTCACTTGGCACATACACATGCCCTGTCACTGCCATGCGTGGACAGGCTTAAGTCTAGGAGTACAGAGATAGAAGGTTTACCCATCCATCCATCATACAGACGGTGAGGATCCGTTTATGTACCATTCCTTGTGCTTGATCCTAATCCTGCCCTCAGGGAGCCCACTGTCACTAGGGGAGACAGGCCTGGCATCAGATTTCAGTGCATCAGTGGGGCCACGTCACCGTGCAGAAGTGGCGCAGACACTAGCAGTAGTGTGAGTCACTGGGTGTTAACAGGTGGGCGTTGCATGCTTAGTCAGTCTTCAAAGAATTGCAGTGCAGTAGAATACACTTACTACCAAACGGTAGTGGGTTTAGTTGAGTCTGTCAGTAAGACTGTTAACTGGTTAGGCAGCTGACTAATGAAAGGCATAGACATGTTGCTGCTTTGATTCTGGCTTTGCAGCATTGGAACTCATGCTGATCTCCACGTCTGGGCCAACAGCACGGCCCTCGGGGCGGGAGGTTGGAACCCATGTCCCTGACACTGCCTGAGTCACCCCCGCTTCAGGTTTCCACCTCCCGTGAAAGCATGGTCTCTGGGTAAAGTTTCAGCTGTTTAATTAACTTGTTGATTTGGATCTCTCGTTTGTGCGCTTTGTCCCTTTCCCCTTTGTCCTGAGTGCAGAGTGGCTGGAAGCTGGGATGTTGGAGTGGCCTGGTTGCAGCACTGAGTTTTGGGTGGGTGAGAGTCTCCTGCTGTTTGATTCACCAGCTTTACCCTCCTCCCTAGCAGCCGTGGACGCCTTTGCCCTGATGCAGTATCATTGAGAAGAAACAGCCAGGGCCTCCAATTTAATCAGACCCAGCTTCTCATGTTAATGGGAACAAGATTTGCTTACAGGGTCAGAAGCAACTCATTATTGGAACAAGGAATTGTTTGATTCTAGTTGTTTTCAAAGCTCTGGAGGAGAGTGGTTCCTGGGACCTACCTGTAGCCACATCAGCACAGAAGGCTGCCTCCTGTCTCATTCTGCGAGGCATTAGGGTGTGATATTGATTAAAAATAGCTTATGTGTCGTGAGCATGGATCTGCCCAGTAAGGTGGCTGGATTGGGTTAGGATGAGAGTGGGGGAGTAGACAGTGTTCTCCCCTTACTGGTGTGATAGTTCCTACACCAGTGACTCCCAGCCCTAGGCCACTAAGTCCCTTGGGGGACGTTTGCAAGGTTTCAAAATGTGTCTGGTTGTCACATCTGGGGTTGGGTGCTTCTGGCCTCTACTTGGTACAGGCCAGGGATGCTGCTAAATGTCCTACAATGCAGGGGCGGCCCCCACAACACAGAACACCCAGGCCCAGACGTTAGTGGTGCCACCATCAAGGAATGCCACCCAAGACGTCCACCCCCAGCAGTAGGCGCTGAGCAAGGGCAGTTGACATGGTACCAGGATAACTTTTACAGTTCATCCGCGTGGGACTCTGGGCTGCAGTCTCTGCCCTCCCCCATCAGGAGTCTGGTGCCTGCCTGCAGTGCTTGCGATGGAAAAATACTTTTCTCCGTTAGTCAGAAGCACTTGGAAAGAGTCCAGGAGAACCTGTTCTAATCTGGGAAAGTTGGCAAGGTACCTGTGTCTCAGGCTGGTGGAGCTGCATTCTAGAAACCTTTCCCAAGCTGCTTAATGTCCCTGGTCATTGTTCTCGGGAACTTCATGGGACTCCTGGGTGACTTTATCCGGGCTCGGTGACCTGCAGCTGTCTCCTCTGAGATTCATGATTTCCTGGCCTGAAGTGCCTCCTGTGAGAACTGGATGGCAGATCTGGGTGCCTTCTTAGCTGGTGACCTTAATGAAGTCACTTCACCTGTCTAGGCCTCAATTTCCTCGTCTCTCAAGCCAGGATGTTAAAACCTACTTCTGTTCTGTAAGCAGCTGCTGTAGGGTTCAGACGAGTGAATCTGTGCTAGCGGAGCTGTGCTGGGTGCTGGCTTAGTAGCTCAGTCGGGTCCGACTCTTCGTGACCCTGTGGACTGTAGCCTGCCAGGCTCCTCTGTCCAAGTAATTCTCCAGGCAAGAATACTAGAGTGGGTTGCCATGCTCTCCTCCAGGGGATCTTCCCCACCCAGGGATTGAACCCAGGTCTCCCACGTTGCAGGCGGATTCTTTTAGTCTGAGTCACCAGAGAAGCCCAAGAATACTCGAGTGGGTGGCCTGTCCCTTCTCCAGGGAATCTTCCTGACCCAGGAGTCAAAGCGGAGTCTCCTGCATTTTAGGCAGATTCTTTACCAGCTGAGCTACCAGGGAAGCCCATGAATGGTCCCAACTAATTGTAAAATGCAGCAGATACCTAAGTGGGGGTGACTGTGGTTAGGGTGTATGAGTATAATATTAAGGAATTAGCAGGTGCTTTTAGAAGGGCTTCTATTTTAGCAGGGTCTGTGCAGGGCTGGACACAGGGCTCGTGAACTGGCCAGGGATGCCTTGCTTGAGATCCAGCTCTGAGAGGCAGTTTTCTGAGATTTTTCACTTATGTGTAGTGGGTGTGTGGCTTTCTGATATGATCAATGTAGGATTGTGGTGGCCTTACAGGTAGAATTCCCTGTTAAAGTCTCTGTCACACTCTTCTTCTTTCACCCCAGTTTGTAACTGTATCCATCCATTTGCATTCTTTTAAAAAAGTTATTTATTTATTATTACTTGGCTGTGCTGGGTCTTCACTGCTGTGTGTGGGTTTTCTCTAGTCGTGGTGAGCGGGGGCTCCCCTCTAGTTTCTCTGTGTGGACTCTCATTGTAGTGGCTTCTCATGTTGTGGCTCCCAGCCTCTAGAGCGCAGGCTCAGTAGTTGTGGCGCATGGGATCTTCCTGGACCAAGGATTGAACCCGTCTTCCTCTCCATTAGCAGGCAGATTCTTAACCACTGGACCAGCAGGGGAGTCTCATTTGCATTCTCATTTGTTTAATGTCCAGGCTGTAAATTCCATGAGAGCAGTTTGTTCACAGCTGTATCCCCAGCACCTGGCACAGGCCTGGGCACATGGTAAATGATGAGTAGCTGGTTGCTGAATGGATGAACAAATGGCGAGGTAGAGAGAAGCCCGCAGGCCGAGCTGTGACTCTGAGCTCTGGCAGCTTCTGACGGTGTGGTGGCAGCTGCACCTCGCCTCATCACCACCCCCCGCCTCCTGCAGGGTCCTGCAGCGGCCCCTCCTGGTGACCTGATCTTCCCGCATTCATTCAGTCCCTCTCGCCCACTCTGTTCTCCGTCTCTCAG